CGGCCATTGCACTCCAGCCTGGGTAACAAGAGCGAAACTCCATCTCAAAAAAAAAAAAAAAAAAAAAAGAATGTGAATTTCCATTGGACATAAATAATCCACACTTTGTTTATCCTTTCATCACCAGCTTTTATGAGTGTCAATAAATATTTGTTGAATGAATTCATTTTCAAAGCATTTCTTGAGAATCTATTATGGACAAAGCAATAAAATAGATAATATGTAGGGTTCAAAGAAACTAAACATAGACAAGGAACTCAAAATTCAAAAAGGAAGAAAGAATGAATTTTCAATACTGTAGATTAATAGCTTGACTTCAGCTCCTTAAAATATCATAGGACTGTTGAAAACACATAAAAAATAAAATAATAGTGTGGGGTTAGTAGAACTCAGATTATAGATCATATCTGAACCATAGTATTGTCATTGTTTGGCCAGCGTTACTAGATTAATAGATATAATAGAGATTATATGAGGTAATGCATATAAATTGCTCAACCTAGTTCCTAACACTAATTACCCACTGAATAGTAGCTGTTACTATTATGATGTTAACATTAGCAAGGCATTTGACTATGTTGCTAATGATGTAATAAGAAAAAAAAAAACAGAGTACCATATACTGAGTATTTGTTATGTGCCAAACACATTCTAAGTGTTTTACATACAATATCACATTGATGATATTGTATGTCTACAAGGTAGACATACTGGATTGAGTAGTGTCCCCCAAAATCCGTATCTGTCAGGAACCCCAGATCCCTATTCACAAATAGGGTCTTTGTAGATGTAATCAGGTTAAGATGGTCAGATAGGATTAGGTGGGCCCTAAAGCCAATGACTGGTGATCTTTATAAGGAGAGAAATATTTGAAGATCCAGAGAAGATACAGGGAGGAAGGCCATGGGATGGAGGCAGAAATTGCAGTTATGCCGCCATAAGCCAAGGAATGCCAAGGATTGCTGGTGACCACCAGAAGCTATTTGGTTGGTGCAAAAGTAATTGCAGTTTTAATGGCAAAACTTCAATTACTTTTGCACTATCCTGTAGAAGAAGCAAAGTAAGATGATTCCTTAGATCCTTCAGAAGGAACATGACGTTGCTAACAGTGTGATCTTGGACTTCTAGCCTCTAGACTGTGAGAGTATAAATTGTTGTTTTAAGCAACCCAGGTTGTGGTGATTTTTCTGGTAGCCCTGCCTAGTGTCTGGACATTTTGTGTTGCTATTCACTGATGTGTGGAAGGTTCTTTTGAGCATCATGCTGACAAGGATGTCAGCGTCTTCATGTCCAGACAAACATCCTCACAGTCTGTAGCCTCCTCGCCCCATTCCAGACTTCTTCCAAGTCATAGGATCTGTTGGTACTTTCACATAGGGTTTTTTGGTTTCCCCAGTCACAGGCACAGACCACAGAACAGGAGATTTGGAGGCACCATCCCAGTTTCAGCTGTCTCAGCCATCTCTCATCTGCCACCTAGCTGGTACCTCTATTACTCTGGTTTCCAGTTCTGTGTTGAAAGAGGGACTTCAGGAATAAACCATGACAAGCAATAAGAAAGATGGATATCTCCACTGCCCCTTCAGTCAGTCTCTCCTTCACCAGCTTCTTCCTAAAAGAATCTAGACACATGAGTATGTTTAGGGATGAGGGTAGACAATAAAAATATGGCTGATTGTCTTTGATTGCTCTTTCACCTAGGATGCATCCTCTTCCCAAACATGAACAGAGTTTTCCTTGGGATTGTATTCACCCTCAAATTTCCTCCATCAAAAACAATCTGTTTCACCACCTAGTCTCAGTGGCCAAGGGCTGAAGGAAAAGCCTCCAAATAACAATGTATGAAAATCGTTTGCCTTGTTCACTCCATTAGACTGAAATTTTGAGGGTAGAGATTGTCTAACCTGTTTAAGGGTGTTCTCAATTGCAAGTAACAAATGTGTAGAAAAACAGCTCCTAAGAGATCTTACTGAGTCAGACAGGAAGCATCAACTTCAGAGACAAACACTAGTAGACATTTAATGTGAAACAGGATCAGATCATGAAACAGAATAGAAAGTCCACAATAGGCACACAGACAGACACACACACATGCACGCATACACACACACGCACACACATCCCACTGATTTCAACAGAGATACAAAGGCAATTCAGTGAAGAAATAAGAGTCTTTTCAACAAATGGTGCATAAACAACTGAATAATGATGCTGGAGAGGGAAGAGTTTCAACACATACCTGTGGCAGGCAAAATGCCCTCCCCAGGAGGTATTGTGATTAGGAGGTACACACCCTAATCCCCTCTAACCCCTAACATGTTAAGAGAGTAAAAAGACAAATCACAGGCGTGAAAATGCATGCAAATCATATATCTGATAAAGGATTTTTCTCCGGAATGTATAAAGAACTCAAAACTCAAAAACAGCTTGGCCAACTTCTCATGCAGATATAAAGGCCTCAGGAAAACATTTTTAAACATACAAAAATCCAAGAATTAAAGTTCCTTAAAAATTTAAAACTGACAGGAGGCTGAGGAAGGAGAATTACTTGAAGCTGGGAGGTGGAGGTTGCAGTGGGCTGAGATCGTGCCACTGCACTCCAACCTGGTGCCTGGCAAAAGAGTGAGACTCTGTCCCAAAAAAAAAAAAAAAAAAAAAAATCTAAAACTGACCTTAAGTCCAGCCAATAAAGATATAAATCAAAACGAGCAAAAAATATTAAAATTCTCAACAGCAGGAAAATAAAATACAAATAAAAAATATGGGCAGAATAGACACTTTACCAGAGAATATACATGGATGGCAAATAAGTACAGGAAAATATGCTCAAAATCATTAGTCATGGAAAAATGAAAATTATAGCCACAGGAGATATCACTACACAAGTGTTAGCAAAGATGTGGAGCAACTGGAACTCTGGTGGGAATGTAAAATCATGTAACCACTTTGGAAAACAGTTTGTTAGTTTGCCAAAGTTAAACGTGTCTTTACTGTACAATCTAGCCATTCTACTCCTAGGTAGGTAGTCAAGAGAAATGAAAGCATTAAGTCTACACATTTATACAAAGACTTGCAGATGAATGTCCATAGCAGCTTTATTTGTAACATCCCCACACTGGAAGCAACCCAAATGTCCGTCATCACTCTTGGAAATAAATGCTTATTTTCTGATATCACAAGGAAGAACCAGCACTCAGACAAAAGGTTTCTCAGCAAGGCTGTCTTTACTTTCTGTAGAAAGGGCACCACTCATCAGCAGTCTTGCCACGAGAGTGCAATGAACAAAGAAAAAGCAGGCATAATATCTAACACACCTGGCCCCTACAGCTGTGTCCTAATTCCATTGGCTAGAACTGGATCTCACAGTCTAGGCTACACTCAATTGGCTAACAGCTTAAAACTTTCCTAAAGACATAAAGGCAGAGGAGAACAAAATGAAAAGAGTAAGTAACTGGTGGAATGCTGAGAAATACAAAAACACTTCCAAATATGGAAGAGGAGGAAACTATGATCTAAGGCTTGACTGGGCTTGTCCAGACATGTCAGGGCAAATATCTGGGCTAAACGTAAGAATCAAGAGCACAGAAGACACTGCTTTCCTTATGATAACTGACAGCTACTTAGGAATATCAGCAAAGGTTTTGGGGTAAATTAATTTTTTAAAGAAGCTATTGTCTACTGTCTATTCTTAATAAGAGGAAAGTTTTGAAGAGGAACTCTCAGTTATTTCATTTTTCACAAACAGGTGAATGGATAAACAAACTCTGGGATGGCCATACAATGGAATAACTACCCAGCATCAAAAAGAAATGAATTATTGGTAACAACAGATGGACTGCAAAATAGTCTATGTGAAAGAAGCCAGACCAAAAAAGAAAAAAAAAGGGTATACACTATGTGATTCAATTTACATAAAATTCAAGGAAATGAAAACTAATGAATAGTGACAGAAGGTAAATCAGTGCCTGGGAAATGGGGTCTGGGGATAGGCAGGAGGGAGGGATTACAAAGGAGCTGGAGGAAATTTTTCCGGGAAATGGAGCTTTACTACCTTGATTGTGACAATGGTTTATGGGTGATTTCATATGTCCAAAGTTGTCAAATCCACCGCTTTAAGTATGTGTAGTTTATTGTATGTCATTTCTATCTCGCAAAAAACTGTTTTTAAAATACAAGAGAATTTTTCATATTTAAACTAAAATATGTAAAAGACAGTGGTACTAACAGGTTGTATTACCAAGAGACAAGCATCCCTTGCAAAGAGATGCTGAGTAAAGTAAGTGCCAGTGGCCAACGGGAGCGGAATTGCTTGCCCCCTTGGGTCACTTGAGGAGCGTGGTGGGGGCTGGGTTGAAATGGGGGGAGTGAGAGGAAAGCCATCCCCAAAGAAGGGTCAGGGCGGGGGCGCTCAACGCGGGGGCGCTCAACGCTGGGGCCCAGGTAGGTTCTTCGTCCTCGCTTCCTGGCCCTGTCTCACGAGTCCAGGGACTAAATGGATCCTCTCTCGCGCCTGCTTTCTACTTCTGAACACGATGAGCGGTTTGTGTTTGAAGGTTTGGGGAGCGGGTGTTGTTTTTTATGTTTCATTTTTTGTTTTGTGTATTAGTTGGGTGGCATAACCCACACGTAATCTGCGAAGTCTAATCAAGAACGAAAATAACCCCTCACAGTAAGCGATCGGGAACTACCTGCCACAATCACTAGGGAAATGACACAGCAAAGAAGCTCCACCCCTCACGACCCCGCGCGCTCTCGCCGGCTGCAGCCCCGCAGCTCGCCCCGCCCCTCTCTTTCCGGAAACAACCCTGGCCCGGGCGGAAGGCGGGGTTGGCCCTGGCCCCTCCCACAGCGTTCCCCTTCCTAGGCCCAGCCCCACAGCGCTCAGCTTCGGCAGGGTCACTTTACGGCCGGAGGAGAGAGTGGCTCCCAGGCTTGAAATAGGAAGCCCAACTGAGGGGCGAGGAAGAGGCTTTTTGCGGCAGGACGTAAGTGACGGCGAAGGCAGCGCGACAGCAACTGGAGGGCAGAGGAGGCGGGTTTGTGTTTCCCGGGCCTAACCGGGTTGTGGGGGGCGCGGGGCCTAGGCCAGGCGGCAGCTAAGGCCCGCAGTGACAGCATGAGTGAAGGGGAGTGGGGCGGAGGAGGCCTTGGGCTGCTTTGGGCGGCGGGTGAGGGCAAGGGGCTGGTGGGCCGGAGTCCCGGGTCCAGGCCTGGGCTTTGAACCGCGGTTGGTGTTTCCCCGATCCCGCAGCGCGGCCCGTCCCGTCCTCGCCATGAGGCCGCAGCAGGCGCCGGTGTCGGGAAAGGTGTTCATTCAACGAGACTACAGCAGTGGCACACGCTGCCAGTTCCAGACCAAGTTCCCCGCGGAGCTGGAGAACCGGGTACGCAGCCTGGCTCCCCACGCCTGCTCTGGGCGAGCGGGGAGACTCACCGGGGACGGGAGGGCTGTGGGCGACACCCGGGCCGCTGAGGGCCCCGCGGTTCTGGGGAAGGCCAGGCACAGAAGGGGCCTTGGCCAAAGGTGTGAGAAGAGAGCCACTAAGCAAGACAGGTGTTTGGAGGAGGAAGAATGATAGGCCGATCGCCGGGGTTGACGACCTTACAGAAGTTTGTTGCCAGGTGCCGGAAATCTGGACCCAGCAGTCTTCTGCTGCACTCCCCCAAATCCGCACCCCGGGTTTTTGTCGGCAGCGATGAGGAGCCAATTCCTGAGGCTCCAGGCCACTTCAGTCACCGGGTTGTAAGCTATATTCTCCTATCTTTCCGCGCATGAGGAATCATCATCATTCTCATGACTGGTATTTGCTGCCTCTGTGCTGGTCCCACTGTTTGGTTGAAAGGGTTTATTAAGTGCGTTGCCAGGCGATACAGTGGAACCTTAAAGAGACAGAGCGTTAGATAGGCCTGGACAGGAAAATATCTCAGAACAAGGCCTTAAACTTATCACATCCATTGGGAGCTACCTGTTTGTCTTGCATATCAAAATGGTCATCAGGATATAGGTCTTTTGAGCAGCATTGCCTGCAAAATGGAAGAATGGGATTTGTTTCCCCTTTTTTCAGACTTAGCAAAACGTTTTTTTAAAAAATCATTGTATCTTCTTGTAGCGGTAATGGAGTGTGTGCCTGTCTGTGTTTTTGTGTGCCCACGTGTGTACACTCAACCAAAGATTCTTTTGGTCTTGACCCATGTTACGTAGATTCTGTTTCCTGTTCAGGGATCAATTTCTGATGAGCTGGGAGCAGGTTTTGTGGCTCTCTCCTCTGTGACAGGGAGGGCAGGGCCTGAGAGGTGATTAGGCATTCCTTGGGTGTGGGGCTGAGAGATGCTGGTCATGGGATAAGTAGGTGTGTATGAGTCTGTATAGAGAAATGTGTAGCAGTTATTTACAGTCAGTTTACAGTGAGGTGGGTTGTACTGCCCTATTGCCATGGTTGGGAATTCAACAATGATCCATTATTGCCTCCTTCATTTTGACATAATAATTGGCAGGTTAGTGGCCGAAATATGTTTCTTTAACTGCAAATTAATCAAATATGCCTTTAAAAGATGGCAAGGTGACTTGTTTCTGAAAAGTCATTTAAATGCTGCAGTATGTTGTCAACTATGTTGTGAGTTAACTCAGCGACACAGTAGGTGAAACTACCCACAGTGGTTTGAAGAGGTAGAAAGTCAGCAACTGGCCAGTTGGTTAGAGCTACTGAATGCTATTTTAAAATAATTTACTATCACAATTGATGTGCTTTACATGTTAAGATTTACATGGAATCAGGCTGGGCCGCATGGCATGCCTGTAATCCCAGCATTTTGGGAGGCAAAAGCAGGTACATTTCTTGATGTGAGGAGTTCGAGACTAGCTTGGCCAACATGGTGAATGAAACCTTGTCTTTACTAAAAATAGAAAAAGTAGCCAGGCATGGTGGCGGGCGCCTGTAATCCCAGCTACTTGGGAGGCTGAGGTAGAAGAATTGCTTGACCCTTGGGAGGCGGTTACAGTGCGCCAAGATCATGCCACTGCACACCAACCTGGGCGACAGAGCAACACTTGTCTTGAAAAATAAATGAAAAGATTTACATGGAGTCAAACAAATGTTTTATTTTTAAGCCTCTTCTGGAAACTATAACATACAGTTTATGTACTTCAAACTCAGAATATATTCTTTTTCACCACCATTATTTGGACATTAAAGATTCCTTTGCTTTAAGGTTTGAAAGCAGCACTTAAACCTCATATATTTGAGCTAAATGTGTGTATGCAGAATCAGACATCAGCTTTCCATTCTGTGTGTGGCAGAACCTTTATTTTGTAATCTAAGTACAAAAGTACAGTGTAGGTAAGTGCTCCACTGATCTTGGGAAATGGATGTTTCTAAGTTCTGGAGTCCTTTTACCTCTTTTAACTTCATATAGCCCAGAACTGCTTGTGGTACTGAGTACGATATGGAATGTTACATGGTGCTATTCAATTGTGCCTTTGAATTTCTTTTTTTCTTTTTAAATGTTTGGGTTAAAACACTAGCTTATGCTTTAAACCACCAGAAAAGCTTTGATTGTGTGTGTATGCATGTATGTGTGTTGAGATTAAATTTTAATTATAGGTTTAAACTCTCCTTGCTTTGATGAAAAACTGAAAGATAATCTGTTACTCTACTACTTACCCTAGAAATTTTCTTACTGCTCTGCCATTGGGGCTGATTTTCCTTTTGTGAGAGCATCACACTTGGCAACGTAATAGAGAAAGAGATGAATATGCAAGTGTTCTGTGTTATTTTAAAGCATTTTTAAAAAATACACACACATTTGTGCCCTTTAATTTGAGAGTAAAGGACAGGTTCTGTCTGTTAACAAGTTCATTTTCTCTGCCGCCTGTTAGAATGTAATACTTTGATGCTTAAGCGTTTTGTTGCCAGAACAATTCTTTAAAGCAAACTTTATTCTCATTAGCCAAAATACAGATCTCTTAGTTATCCGTGGTCTGGGTAGAAGAATGAGTGAACTCTAATTGAGGCACTTATTCCCTTATTTCCCTTTAAAAATAAGTCTCCCCATCTGATTAGTAATTACCTTAGACCTGCCACCCTTGATATGTGATCACTGCAGGCTTCACCATGCTTTCTATTGTATAGTTCAGCAAGAAACAAAAATTCGGGGAAAATGAACTTGATTTCTCTCCATTCTGACTTTTGATGTTTGTGGGTTCCAGTTTTATTTGGCTCTGACTTCTTGTATCTTTTTTTTTTGAGATGGAGTTTCGCTCTTGTTACCCAGGCTGGAGTGCAATGGCGCGATCTCGCCTCACTGCAACCTCTGCCTCCTGGGTTCAGGCAATTCTCCTGCCTCAGCCTCCTGAGTAGCTGGGATTACAGGCACGCGCCACCATGCCCAGCTAATTTTTTGTATTTTTAGTAGAGACGGGGTTTCACCAATTTGACGAGGATGGTCTCGATCCCTTGACCTCGTGATCCACCCGCTTCAGCCTCCCAAAGTGCTGGGATTACAGGCTTGAGCCACCGCGCCCGGCCAACTTCTCATATCTCTAAATTTTGATACAGCTCCTGTATCAGTGTCCAGGAACCTAAGGGAGAACACTGGCCACTGTTTTTCATAGCCTAACAGTAGTGAGATACAGATGCCAAAATTTTGTTCTCTTGAGCCCTTTCTTGTGAAGGTTGTCATTTGCCTTTACTGATGCCTTCCGTGATTGTTACCCATTATTTTCCTTTTTAAAAATAACCTTTCAAAAACTTGTTGGCATTTACTTTTCTTTAACCATTTAACCTTTGCTTAAATTCCCCTTTTTGTTTTGTTTTTTTGAGACGGAGTTTCGCTCTTGTTACCCAGGCTGGAGTGCAATGGCGCAATCTCAGCTCACCGCAACCTCTGCCTCCTGGGTTCAGGCAATTCTCCTGCCTCAGCCTCCTGAATAGCTGGGATTACAGGCAGGCGCCACCATGCCCAGCTAAGTTTTTGTATTTTTAGTAGAGACGGGGTTTCACCATGTTGACCAGGATGGTCTCGATCTCTTGACCTCGTGATCTACCTGCCTCGGCCTCCCAAAGTGCTGGGATTACAGGCTTGAGCCACCGCGCCCAGCCTTTTTTTTGTTTGTTTAACTGACATATGATTTGCCTCCATCCTATAAGGCCTTGTAATCTTAAAATAACTCATAAGAATTAGTGTTTCTTGCTGGGCTTGATGACTTGCACCCAAGTAATCCCAGTTGCTCTTGGAGGTTGAGGTAGGAGGATCAGTTGGGACCAGGAGTTCAAAAGCAGTCTGGGCAACATAGCGAGCCGCTGTCTCTAAACTTAAAAAATAATAATTAGGGTTCCTGGGATAAATAGTAATTCTAATGTGGAAGAAATAAGATGTTTCTGGGTTGAATGCATGATTTTAAATTGTATTGTACATGAAGAAATAGAAATAATACAAGGAATTATAGGCACATCAAATGTGATTGGTATTATTTAGACTTTTGTAGACTTATCGGTGGACAAATTGAAGGCATTAACCTAGGCATAATTAGGTGAACATAACAGCTTGCCATCTTTGTTCACTGGGCTCTCCTCAGTCTGTTTTCAGGAATGAGAACTCTGACTTAGGTTGCCGGATGACCAGCTTTGACACCACATCTTCAAGGGGTAGCTCAGTGAAGAATTGCTTAAAGGCCATATTTACCTACCTAGCCTTTGTCCAAAACTCTTATATTCCTGGAAATTTAAGATAACTCCTTTTGAAAAATGGGTAGAGCCAACACCACTTTAGAGGTTACATTAAACTAATGCATGCCACTGGCTCATTGACTCCTCACATTTTCCACACAAAGGACAAAACAATGACTACAACTGCTTCTAATATAAAGAATTGTCATAGCTTATGGATGGTCATGATTTGTTTTACACTTTAAAAGATTACGTTCTTGGCCTGGCATGGTGACTCATGCCTGTAATCTTAGCACTTTAGGAGGCTGAGGTGGGCGGATTGCCTAAGGTCCGGAGTTTGAAACCAGCATGGCCAACATGGTGAAACCCCATCTCTACTAAAAATACAAAAATTAGCCAGGCGTGGTGATGTGCACGCCTGTGATCCCAGCTACTCAGGAGGCTGAGGCAGGAGAATCACTTGAACTCACGAGGTGGAGGTTGCAATGAGCCGAGACCCTGCTGCTGCATTCCAGCCTGGGAGACAAAGTAAGACTTTATCTCACAAAATAAGATGTTAGGCCAGGCGCGGTGGCTCACGCCTGTAATCCCAGCACTTTGGGAGGCCAGGGCAGGTGGATCATGAGGTCAAGAGATGGAGACCATCCTGGTCAACATGGTGGAACCCCGTCTCTACTAAAAATACAAAAAAATTAGCTGGGCATGGTGGCATGTGCCTGTAATCCCAGCTACTCAGGAGGCTGAGGCAGAAGAATTGCCTGAACCCAGGAGGCAGAGGTTGAGGTGAGCCGAGATTGCGCCATTGCACTCCAGCCTGGGTAACAAGAGCGAAACTCCGTCTCAAAAAAAGAAAGAAAGAAAGAAAAAGAAAGAAAGAAAGGAAGAAAGAAAAGAAAAGAAAGAAAGAGAAACATGGTTCTTGGGGCCAAGTGCCGTGGCTCACGCTGGTAATCTCAGCACTTTGGGAGGCCAGACGGGTAGATCACAGGAGGCCAGGAGTTCAAGGCCAGCGTGGCCAACATGGCAAAACCTTGTCTCTACTAAAAATACAAAAATTAGTTGGGAATGGTGGTGCATGCCTGTAATCCCAGCTACTCAGGAGGCTGAGGCACGAGAATTACTTGATCCTGGGAGGCAGAGGTTACAGTGAGCCAAGATTGTGCCTCTGTACTCCCGCCTAGGTGACAAGAGTGAGATATGTTTTCTTCTTCTTTTGAGAAAGGGTCTCACTCTGTCATCCAGACTGGAGTGCAGTGGTGAGATCTTGGTTCACTGCAACCTCCACTTTCCAGGCTCCAGCGATCCTCTCACCTCAGCCTCCTGAGTAGCTTGGACTATAGGCTTGCACCACCATGCCTGGCTAATTGTGGCCAGTAGAGGCAGGGTTTTACTGTGTTGCCTAGACTGGTCTCAAACTCCTGAGCTCAAGTGATCCACCCACTTTGGCCTCCCAAAGTGCTGGGATTACAGGCGTGAGCCACCACACCAGACTGATTTTTTTTTTTTCTGGAGTCATTTCTATTATAAAGAAAGACTTAATAGGGTTCATAGCAGCCAGGAAAGAGGGGGAAAGAAAGGCCAAACAAAAAGTGTTTTTAAAGAAAGACTCCAAAAGAGAGAATTCATAAATAAGTAGTTATTAATCTTAGAAATAAGGGAATCCTTATGTAAGAGAAGGCCTAGAGTGTGAACAGATAAGAATGGCAGTATTGGATGAATGCTTTCCTAAGGGCCCTTGAAAGTCCTGGGATGAAATAGTGAAATTTGAAATCTGTTACACAAAGTACTATTAGAAGGCAATAAAGTTATATTGGAAGAATAAAGTAAAAGCAGATGATTGAGTGAAACGATGGGTGACAGTACAGATTCTTATGTGACATGTGTGGAACCAAAAGTATTTCAGATTTTGGAATATTTGTTTATACTAATGAGTTATCTTGGGGATGGGACCCTAGTCTAAACACAAAATTCATTATGTTTTATATCCACCTTCTGTATATAACCTGAAGGTAATTTTTTACAATATTTTAAATGACTTTATGAGACAAAATGTGTGTACACTGAATCATCTTATTACCCTTTGAGAACATGCTTGCATGGGAGAATCTGGCTGTGCATAGAAAAGATACACGGCAGCTGACTGGGGCTGGAAGGGTCTTTTTTCCCTTGGGGACACTGAATAAACTGTGTGTTGTGCACCTGCATTTTGACTGTGACACCTCACATGAGGTCAGGTGTGGAATTTTCCACTTGTCATATCAGTGCTCAAAAATTTCAGATTTTGGAGCCTCTCTGACCTGTGAATTTTAGATCAGGGATGCTCAGCCTGTAGTAGTATTAGTGTAAATTTAAGATAATGGTGTCACCAAATAGGAAGAAGTAATAAGAATGACTTTATTTGAAAAATTGTATATTAGCTTGAGATTTTACCTTAACAGATTTTACCTTATTTAGTAACAGGATAGTTACTTTAAAAGAGATAGATTGACTAAACAGAATACAGAACTTAGGCCTTTTGATCCTTCTACTAAAATACCATTCCCTTTGACCTAGTAAATTCCAGTTTTTAGTTACTCAATTTAAGATTACCTGCTCTCCCCAGATAAAGAAAACTTAGCCTTGTGCCCCCACTAGACTTTATATTTGCCTATGCGATAGTACCCTGTCAGCTTACTGCATTTTTATGTGTACATACCTGTTCTACTTGCATAATTAAACTCTTGAGGATTGAGAGGTGCTTTATCTTTCTCTGAGATTTGTCATAGTATCTGATAGTAGGTGCTCAGTAAATGTGAATCTAAATCAATGGAAAGAGGAGTAGTCAAAAGTTACTTGAAATTCAGTAGAAAGAATAATAAAGTACCTTATTGAGCCTTGAAGCTATCCAATATTTATAAAAGGGATAAAATTTTAAAAACTAAGCAGTTTCGATAACTTAGACCCAGATTTAATCACCAAAAAAATGGTCAACTGTTAGCTACGAATGGTGACAAAACAAGATAAATTAGTGAGAGCATGCATTAGTACGTTGATTTTTTTTATTTTTTTCCAAAACGTACTTTTAAATTCTTTCTTCTCTACAGATTGATAGACAGCAGTTTGAAGAAACAGTTCGAACTCTAAATAACCTTTATGCAGAAGCAGAGAAGCTTGGCGGCCAATCATATCTTGAAGGTTGTTTGGCTTGTTTAACAGCATATACCATCTTCCTATGCATGGAAACTCATTATGAGAAGGTAAGGCTACATTTGTTTTCACAAAAATCTCTTAAAATCATGAAAAAGGCGAGTTTATTACATATTGATGCTTACATCGTGATAGTTGCCATAACATATTTAGGGGCATTTATCATTCAAATTGTGTTGTTGCACCTGTGTACAGAGCACATAGTCCTGAGTCTTTCCAAACAGGTCACAATTGGTGTGTTCAGTTGCAGTTGACATGTCAGTGTTCAGACTGGCTTACGCTTAAGAATATTGTAGAAAATCTGTATGTTCTCCTACTCAGCTTTCTGGGAATGTTTTTACTTTATTTCCCTAAGTTTCACTGTGTCCTCCCGCCCTGAGTTCTTAACTTTTCTTTCCAGCTGCCTGGTAGCTCCCAATTGCTGATTTCTCAACCTAAGGTGACCAGAAGTCAAACTTTCCACCTCCCCATTTTGTCAATAGAACCCCTGTCTTTCCGGTACCATCTTTGGGCGTGGGGGATAAAGAAGAGGGAAAGACTGAAATGTCTTCCATTTTCCCAGTCATTAAGTTTTTGTGATTTCCTCTGCCACTGTCCTAGGGTACGCACTTACTCTCTCTTCTAGACTGTTGAAATAGTCTGACTTGTCTCATCTCTTCCCTCCTTTTGCTTTTCTAAACTATCTGCTACTGTGTTCATAAAACAGAGATTTACTTCCCCTACTACTTCTGCCAAGTCAGAGACCTTTCCTGGCTTCCCATTTTTTTGCCACTGAATAAAGTTCAAGGCCCTGCTCAAGCTGACCTCAGTTTACCTTTCTAGCGCTACCTACCATTCCTTCCTTCACTTTCTCAGCCAAACTCCATCACTCCCTGGTGAGCAAACATAGCCACTGTGGTTCTCCTCCACCTAGAATGCCATCTTCCCAGGTTCAAATCCCACCAGTCCTTTAGGTCTCACTTCCATCTAACTTTTTCTCTCTTTTAGTCAGAATTCTTTCTCTTCTCTTTGTCCCTTCAACATTTTATTTGTATCTTTTTTCTGGTACTTGCCTCACTCTTCTTTGGAGTGTAGCAGTTTATGTTCTTGTCTTATTTGCCCTTAAAGTATGTATTTTTCTTGAGGACAATGCCTTAACCATTTTGTATCCCTCTTCATGCCTAACACCATGCCTTTGGTATATCAGGCACTCATTTAATGTATGTTAAATAAGTGACTGTAAATTAATCACTGAATTTTGACAGTGCTTAGAAAATGAAATGCTATAGGAATATATTTTACCCCATCTGATGGAAATGTCTTACACTCCGTGTAATGGCGAGTGCATGTAGTTGCAGCCACAGTTTTTAGGGCTTGTAGCTGAAAATGCTGCTGTATTCTTCATTACCATGCTGTTATTATAATTCCATCTCATATAAACAGGTATATTTAATATCGTTATTTATATCCTTCCCATGTTGAAACAGGAAAAGTTCTCTTGTCCCCCGTCGCAGGGCGTGCGGTGGGGGCATGGTTTGCTTCTTGAGTGCCCTGCTGCTCAGACATCTAGGGGAGCATACAGATGGGCAGACTGTGGGGCTCCAACCCTATGGCAGTGTCTAGGGGTGAATGTTTTACAGCTCCTAAAGCCCCAGTGAGCATGTTTCACAGGGTCCATAGGCAGCTTGTGTTAGCTCATTAGACCCCTGCCTTATTGCAAGGACAGAGGGCTTTTTGTATCCCAGAGTTCTTGCCTTGGTATACTGGAAGAATCCCATCGCATGTGGGCTTGGAGAATGAGTGCAAGGTTTTGTTGAGTGGAAATAGCTCTCAGCAGATGGGGGAGCCAGAAGGGAGATGATTTTCCCCTGGAGTCAGGTCGCTGAACAGCCCAGCTCTTCTCCAACCACCCTGGCCAAACTCCACGTCATTCCGCCACTTGATTGCCTACCAGCGATCCGGTGAGCTCCTATGCCAGTGTTTTCCTCTCGACATCCTGTGTGTTCCTCCACCGATGTACACCTCTCCACATTCAGCCACCTATGTATCTGCCTGCTAGGATCTCGGTTTTCATAGGCGAGGATGGGGGCATGGCAGGCCAGGGTGGAAATGCAACATTTGGACAGGAAAACAATTCCTGTCCTCACCTACTGGGCACTGGCCTGGAGACCGAGCGCTAGCCAGGGACCACACCCTCCTCTACCCAGCACTTCCCTGCCCCTTTCTGTATCATTTAAAGAGACCACGCTCGCCTTTCGGACCCGGCGACAGCAGGGCTGATCCAGCAACACCGTCCCTTCACTCTCTGCACTCGCTCTCTGTCTGTCCGCCCGCTCCGCTGGCCGCCCCACCACCATGATGGAACAGGCCATCTCCTTCGCCAAGGACTTCCTGGCTGGAGGCATCGCCATCTCCAAGATGGCCATGGCACCGATCGAGCGGGTCAGGCTGCTGCTGCAGGTCCAGCATGCCAGCAAGCAGATCGCCGCCGACAAGCAGTACAAGGGCATCGTGGACTGCATCATCCGCATCCCCAAGGAGCAGGGCGTGCTGTCCTTCTGGAGGGGCAGCTTGGCCAACGTCATCCTCTCCTTCCCCACGCAAGCCCTCAACTTCCCCTTCAAGGATAAGTACAAGCAGATCTTCCTGGGGGGCGTGGACAAGCACACGCAGTTCTGGAGGTACTTTGCGGGCAACCTGGCCTCCGGCAGGGTGGCCGGCGTCACCTCCCTCTGCTTCGTGTACCCCCTGGATTTCATCAGAACCCGCCTGGCCGCCGATGTGGGCAAGTCGGGCACGGAGCACGAGTTCCGCAGCCCGGGAGACTGCCTGGTGAAGATCACCAAGTCCGACGGCGTCCGCATGTCGGTCCTTTAGTGTCTCCATGCAGGGCATCATCATCATCTACCGCGCCGCCTACTTTGGCGTCTCCGACATGGCCAAGGGCATGCTGCCCGACCCCAAGAACACGCACATCGTGGTGAACTGGATGATCGCGCAGACGGTGACGGCTGGGGCCGGCGTGGTCTCCTACCCTTTCTGCACGGTGCGCCGGCACATCATGATGCAGTTGGGCCGCAAAGGAGCTGACATCATGTACAAGGGCACCGTCGACTCTTGGCGGAAGATCTTCAGAGACGAGGGGGGCAAGGCCTTCTTCAAGGGTGCCTGGTCCAAAGTCCTCCATGGCATGAGGGGCACCTTCGTGCTGGTTGTGTACGACGAGCTGAAGAAGGTAATCTAAGGGCGCGGCCATCACATGCACACATGTATACGCACACACACCAACACAACCACGCAGAATTCTCAACCGAGCCGACCACCAACCTTCCAGAAATTCCAGTCTCTTTCCCAGCCGGATCCTGCCTGTAGACTGCCAGGGAAGGTTTTAGAAAAGGGGGTGCACTGTGATCCAGCCATCGGTGCCGGATCACAGCGGGGTGGGGGGAGGGAACCATGGCCTCGGGCCCCCAGGTGAGACACTCCAGTGCTCAGACCTGCAGTCCAGATGCTTGTAGGACCCAAGTCGTGTTTAACTATTGATTTAAAACAAGAAGAAAAAAAAAGACCACGCTCTTCCTTTCCTTGTCAATACCACACAGAGAAGCTAACTTTCATTCCTGTTTGCTTTCAGAATCAGAAGTTATCAAGACTCAGTGTCAGTTTTCAGTCTGTTTTAGTGTAACTCCTCTGTAATAATATGTTGAGTGAGTGAGGCTTGGGATTTGTTTGCTCAGTAACTATTGAAAGCCTATATGCTAAGCAAAGTGCTGGCAGGTCAAACATGGTTGCTGACCTTGTGGGGTTCATAATTAAGTGGTGACAACTGATAACAAGGAAACATAAATAAAGCCAACAAAATTATACATTATGATAAGTGCCTTGAAGGAAACAAACTGGCCTATGATAGAAAATAATAGGCGGGACCTAACCTAGAATGTGTGGTCACAAGAGGCCTCTGAGGTGGAAACATTTAAGCTGTTGAGTGAAGGATGGAAAGCCTGGGGCATTGAGGCAGAAAGATGAACATACACAAAGGCCCAGAGAGCTTGATGGGCCCTGGGAACAGAGAGAGGGTGATAATTAAAGACATGAGCCTCAGCACCGAGCAAGATTTTCATTTTAAAGAGATTTCTTTGCTTTGTGGAAAAAAGGCCTAAGAGTAGACGTAGTGAAACAAAATAGGAATCTCCATGGAAGTCCAGGCAAGAGTGATAGTCTGGACGAGGAAGGGAGTAGGGGAGGTGTAAAGAGGTGACCAACTCCAAGGGATATGCTGATAGTCAGCCCTGAATGTGGGAGGGGAGGGTAAAGCTGAATTCATATGGATATTTACAGCAGTCCATAATATTGCCAGTTTAAGGTAGAAGTACATCTCTTGAGTATTTTATTCATGCTTAGTGAAGTATTAAAGGGCTTGTCATTACTTTGTTGATAAAATTTTAATTTGTATTTGTCAATGTATATTTGCTGAAATAGAAGTACTGATGTCATTTCTAAAAAAAATGGTTATTGGGTGCTAGTCAGGGTATGCTAATTATGAGATCTTGGACAAATTAATCTCTCTGAATTCTCTCAAATGGATATTAGAATTAATAATTTGCCTCATGTTGTTAGTGCTTAATAAACAGTATTTTCTTGAGGTGCAACCTCTGCCTCCTGGGTTCCAGTGATTTTTGTGCCGTGTTGGCCAGGCTGGTCTCAAACTCCTGGGCCTCAAATAATTTACCTGCCTTGGCCTCCAAAAGTTCTAGGATTACAGATGTGAGCCACTGCACCCAGCAGCCAGTCTTTTTTACTTTAACTTAAAAAAAAAAAAAAAAAAAAAAACTATGGGGTCTCATTATGTTGACTATGCTGGTCTCGCACTCCTGACCTCAAGCCATCTTCCTGTCTTGGCCTCCTAAAGTGATAGGGTTACAGGCATGAGCCACTATGCCCAGCCGAGATAGATTTTAAATGAAGTTATCTACATAAATTTTAATCAGATATTTGTACACCCATTTACGATTTTTTATTTTCAAGTATAAGTAATCTTTTAACCAGCTGCTAGTTTATTTGGATATTGAAAACACTTAGCAGATCTCAGTTAAAATCTTTCCAGTCAATAGTCTTGGAAGATGGTCTTTAATACCAGAAATACAATGGTTATTGGGTTGATCACAATATATGTTTTAACTTGGATTTGTAGACGTTGTGTAAGGTACTGTTTTATAGGTGTAAGTAAGGCCCCTTTCTTTTTATAGAGCCAATATTATAAAGCCAGTAAAGACCAAATAAAAGTAACCCAGAAAGCAAATTTAAGGCATGGCCACATTTTAAAAATAGGTGGTATTTTGTAGAAACTGAACATGGATAACTGTATTGTGCAGCATTAGTAACTGGAATGATCATAGTTAAGGTATGATATACTTTAAACAGAAGTGTGTATTTGTATTTCTGATAAAATTATTAAAATGTAAGCACAGCTGCTCTCTCCGTTCCCCAGTTTGTTTCTGAGGAATTTTTGTGTTATTATTTTCTACTTAGGAAAGGATGGGGTTGAGTCATTTAGTCTCTATTGTTTTAAACATCAAAATTCCTAGTCTGCAAACAGTAAGCCAAATATAACAGTGCTTATACTTTGTCATGTGTATTAAATTTTTGAAATTGTAAATAGGCCTTTTAAAACTCACTAGAACAATCATGCATTTTTCCCTAGAATGTACTATTTATTGATTTAAAATGAAGATAAAGACTTCAGTGTTATTTCTCTGTTGTTGCTACCCATGATAATTAGGGAACAAATAGGCTCGTAGAAGGTTCTCCTCTCAGTATCTCTCTGCCTTGTTCATGAACTAGAAAACATCCCTTCTGCCTATGCGCTGTAATCTCTAGAAGGAAGACAGGAGAGAACTTGAATATGTTCTGAAAACACTTAAGACGCTGGTGCTACTTAGCCTCATTAGGCTGTTTTTCTTGAAGGTCTAGTAGGCTTTCTCCAGTTTAATATCCTCAGGGAGGGCAGTGATTTTTTCCAAGTTTGTGTTTAACTTTGTAAATATCATACAAATTGAAGTTTTATTGAGGACTTGAGAGTAACAGATAACTTTGTTTAATAGTATGGTTTGCTTTGACATCGATTTACCAAAAATAAAAAAGTGTGAATAAAATGTCAGCATGAGGTTTCTTGAGGGTGAGAGTGGTGCTTTGTCCTTTATGAGATCATGGTATGAGTTTACACATATTAATGCTTTTCCACTACTAAAGAGACTATGAGTTCTATTGTTTGTTTGTTTTAATTTTTATTTTGAGACTAAGAGTTTTAAAGCATCTTGTTAAGGACAGTGTTGCCTTCACTGAAATATTATAAGAAGATTTAGCCCTTATACGAAAAGAAAACTAATTGTTTTCTTTCTGAACTGATACCCAAGTGCACATCAATGTTACTAAAGTTTATTTTAAAAAAAAAATCCTTGCCCAATGAAGTTATGCTTGAACCAAATAAAGGAATGCTGTTTCTTTGCTAGTAACCTGTACCCAGAGAAAGGAGGAGGGAAGGCTATTCTGAAGGAATCCTTTCTTTGAAACCAGCCATGCAGGCATTTTTCTGAGTGTCTTCCCTAATATTAATGGACTGGAGTGAAGGGAGACTGAGTCTCCAGTTTCCAATTCTGGCAGGTGAGCTGAGAAGGAAATTGGAGAAAAGATTGAGAGGCCTGAGTTGGGCACCTTTATGGGCTACTTCCTTCTATTCATTATTTCAGGATGATTGACAAACTCTGATGTGAAGATAGTGCCTAAAGGGTTTTTTTGCTCATAAAGACCAAGCACAGCTCAAATGTTTTGAGTGCTGAAAGTAGGAGAATGATACATGCATTGCTTCAGGTAATTAAGATGAAAAAAAAAAAAACTTCTCTTTAGAAATAGTACTCTTAATTTATTGTATATAAGAATCATGCAGACTGCTCTTTCAATAATCTTAAGCTTTTTTAAAGAAGCATAAAACATGGGATTTTTTTAATCCCCAAAGAATACTTGAATAAACTGTTTAAATTACTTTCCTTCAGTAAGAAAATTTTTTATACAAAACATGTAGTTTTTACATTCTAAATCAGTTTATACCAAAGCATCTAAATCGCAACATCCTAATTTGTTAGTTTGGTCTGTATGTTATATAAGCCACACTTAAATCATTGCTTAATGTCCAACTTTATTTTCATACAGTTCTTTTTCCCTTTTAAGTTGTGATCACATTTGTGACTTTATTGTTTCCTAATAGTGTGAATTTAAGGAAATATATGGTAATTTAAAGAACTGGATTAAAGCCTCTTTGAACATTAGAGCCAGGAAAAGGTTATGATGACTTTGAGCCTGAAATAAAACATGTAATGCTTTGATTTTGGATATAGCTATGAAGATTTATTTTCTTCTAGCTTATCTGTCTCAGATTGTCCTTATTAAAGCTGGAGATTTGGCAATTTCCAGAAGTTCCTTTGTATCCTATCTGGTTTTTGTCTACATTTGCTTTGACTTTTACAAGCTTAATACTAAACTTATAAATTGAAGTTCCTGTCTAGGAAATGAGCAAACTGCGGAATAGCACTACATGCATTCATGGAAGTGACATAAGACACTTGGAGTTATCAGAAACTCCCTGGCAGCTAATGCCCACATGCTCTACAAAGGATATAAACTTTTTGGTTTTGAAATAACGGAACTACCTTTTGTTATAGACCAACCCTAAATTGATGAACTTGTACAGAGGAAAGAAGCAGTCCTTTAAGTTTTGTAAATGGCAAGGCCAAGATCTGTCCTTGATTTTAGAGGATGCCACATTAACAACACTTTATGAATAGGGAAAGAGAAGCATGAGCAGCCATTGTGTATATAACCATCTGTGTTTCTGTACGTGCAGGATTGAGGTGACTGGGAAGTGGAAAGTAGGAAGGAGGGGGTTAGTTCTCACCATGCTGTGTATGCATTTGAATTTATTTACATTACATTGAAGATATTTTTGACTTGAAGAGTCCCTCACACTTTGCTATATGTCATATGTAACTCATGTGAGCCAAGTAACAAATTCCTACTGCCTGAATATTTTGAGATCTCACTAACACTTAAAGGGAAATCTGATGAAGTTTGTAAAAAGCTGTGGTATTTCTTTCTGTCAGGTTCTGAAGAAAGTCTCCAAATACATTCAAGAGCAGAATGAGAAGATATATGCTCCACAAGGCCTCCTCCTGACGGACCCCATTGAGCGAGGACTGCGAGTTGTATCTTTTTAGTCTGGATCATAAGGTCTAAATATTTATAAAAAGAAAATGTTGATATTGTTTGGCATCGGCTAGAGAGAATTAACTCCCATCCTGTATTTGCCTTAGGAAGTTTCTATGTGAATTGCATACCTACTGTAAACCACCCCCCGCCCACCCCGGTCTCCAACATTTTTTTCTATTAAGGCAATGTCTCTCCTTCCATTGGATGGTGCAGATCTCTGTGGTTTGTTTACCAATTTAGTCACCATCTTTCCTGGTGGTTCTGAGGGCATCTTGTAGTAATAATGGGGGTGGTTTGAGTAATGCACTTCAGCTGCAGAAATCCTGAACCTGAAGCCCCTTTGAAATGAATAAACTCATAGTGTGTGGTGAGACTTGTCATCCTAATGAATTGCAGTTCCATGGGTTCATCTGACTAGTTGAAATCAGTTATAGCTGCCAGATGTATAATTTCATTACCTTTGACATACTGTGCATATTTTTACAGGCAATAAGCTTTGAAAATCACTACATGATTTTTGTAAATAAAATTGCAAAAAGTAATTTAGCTTGATAACTGAGCAATGGGTAAATGATTATTTCAAAAAACCTAGGTCACGTAATCCTAGGCCTTCCAGCTGATGATAATTTCAGCAGTTTTATTATACTCTGCAACAATAGTTCTTTAACTTTCAGGGGTCATGAACCCTTCCTTTCCCAAGAAAAAAGTTTTCATATAATTTCAGGGCATTTTTAAATCCCTGAATTCATTACCTCCATGGATTCTCAGTTAAAAACTCCCTAGTTCTACAAATAAAACATCTTTTTCAGAATTTTTTTGTTTGTTTTCAAAACATAAATCATCGGTGTTTGTGAAGGAACTACATGCGGACTACTATAAATAATTATATTTCTTAAAATTTTCAGCAAATTGAAAGCAAACTTACGTAGGAAAAAAATTTAATAATTTAAAAATAAGCAAAGCAAACTGAAAGCTAAGTCTGCAGATCACACCATCCACCTTGCCACGTGCCCTTTATCTGTTGTGTCCTGTAGTGTGTTTTCTTAACAGCCATGCTGTTTAGATTGAAATTACCATTTATGAAGACAGAGGCATGAGCAGTGGAAGATAAACCATAGAATTAAAGGTAAATATGAAATGATATAGCCTGTATGCAGCTTTTGCAATTTTAGAGGATGCATGAATATTCTTCCCCTTATGGCAAATAAATCATTAAATCATGCAGTTAAATAGTGATATATTTGCTGTGTTAACTTAAGCTAGTTGCCATATTAGCTTGATATTTAAAATGTTTATTTAACCCAAGTTCTATTTGGTGATAAAGAATTTCTGATTTTTTTTCCTGCTGTATTGTGTTCAGAATGGTTTTGTTGTTACTTTGGTGGGGGACTGAGGGAAGGCGGTTACTTGGCTTGTTTTAATATTTCAAAACTATCCTAGGCATATAAATACTTGGGTTTTGCATATAAAAATGAGTTGAGAGATGTCTGCCTATATGACAGATGGCTTTAATAAGCAAAGGAACATTTCAGAGGGGAGTAGGAAGATTCTGAATATTCCATTTATTTTATTTAAGTAGCTTCAGACCCCTGTAGAAGAAACCTTACCTACTGAGTAGAAACATAAATTTCATTCATTTGTTTACAGTGTTAATGTCCTTAGATATTCAGATACTACCCTTTATTAAGTAAGAAACAAATTAATACTAATAATCTCTAGGCAGAGTCATAAGCCGTAAGTACTTTAGCATAGCCTTCTCAGTGACAGGAAGTAGCAGTTCACTATTTCTACCAGTTTCAGTTACGTGGCCTTCCTGTAGAAAGTGTTCTGCTGCTGTGCTTTTCCAGTTGACTGTGCCTACAGGTCTCTGTCACTAATTAATAGACAGCACAGACACAGAATGTATCAAAGCAGACATAGGTATTCCTAGGGCAACATTAATAAAAGCTCTGATTTTGAGGGCACCTACTATATGCCTGGTATTATACAATTGGTACTTCTGAATCTCACAAGAAATCTGCATAGTATTTCCCCATTTTACAGATGAGCAAACTTGGCTCTAAGTAGATTAAATGATGTTCCCACGGTCACACAGTTAACAAGTATTGGGATGTGAACACAAGTCTGATTGACCATTAAACCCCTGTCTTCTATACCATACTTCCTTTCAGTACTTGCGGCAGCAGGATTGTGAAGAAAGGGAAGAATTCATCAGATTATGCTAGAGGTTTATCCCCTTCTCTTGTTCAGTACTTTAAAAAAAATACACTTTGTCTGCTCCTGTATAGTTTATTCAATTCTGCAACCCATGCAGCATTCCAGAGCTGCCTTCTTTAGCACTAGGGAATGTGTCACCTGAATTCCTGAAAGCCCGATATCTAAATCATGATATCCTCTGCCACATTTTATTTCCTTAAAAAGGCTTTGTTGGCTGGGCACGGTGGCTCACGCCTGTAATCCCAACACTTTGTGTGGCCGAGGTGGGTGGATCATGGTCGGGAGTTCGAGAACAGCCTGACCAACATGGTGAAACCCCGTCTCTACTAAAAATACAACTTTTAGCTGGGCATGGTGGTGGGCGCCTGTAATCCCAGCTACTCAGGAGGCTGAGGCAGGAGAATTGCTTGAACCGGGACACAGAGGTTGATTGCGCCACCGTACTTTAGCCTGAGCGACAGGGCTAGACTCCGTCTCAAAAAAAAAGGAGGGGGGCAGCCTTTGTTTCGGAATACTTAGTGTTACTTGTTCATATACTTTCTCTTGTACAATTTTCAAACTGATACTTCTCAAACAAACAACCAGGAACCTTCTGTGTGGCTTTTGTTCCATGCCATGGGATAAGTTTTCGTATCAACTGCAGCTGTGATGACTTGGCACAGCCCTTTTATCATGACTCATTTTACAGCTATTATTGTGTAATCATGTGTTGGGGTTTGAGCAGTTACACACCAGAGGCTAATCTATCAATATTCAAATAACTGTGGGATTTTACGGTGGGAAAGATTTACATTAAGAACTTCTGGATACCATCTTTCAGGAATGCAGATATATTTGTTCAGCACAATTTCCTTTTTGGAGTATGTGTTCCCAAGGTCCAGGACGCAGTGTGGGCTGAGATCTTGGAGAAGGGAGGGAAACTCTAAGCATAATTTATTCATTTCTTCTTTTTTTCTTCAGTCTGCACGTTGTCTGCAATTTGAAGCAATATATGGGAATTAGTGACTTAAAAGACTATGCAAACATGAGGAGGGCCGTTATTTTTAAAAAGAGCTTTAAACCAAAGCACTGTTCTTAAGCTTAATTTTTATAATATCTTGCATATATCTTTATTACATCTTTATTGTTAGATACACTGGTGTTTTCTCTGTGAATTAGGATTTCCATCTTTATATAAAAATGGGATATACAAGGCCAGGCGCATTAGCTTATGACTGTAATCCCAGCACTTTGGGTGGCTGAGGCAGGCAGATCAGAAGATCAGGAGTTTGAGACCAGCCTGACCAACATGATAAAACCCTGTCTCTACCAAAAATACAAAAAAAAATTAGCCAAGCATGGTGGCATATGCCTGTAATGCCAGCTACTCAGGAGACTGAGGCAGGAGAATTGATTTTACCCAAGAGACGGAGGTTGCAGTGAGCCGATATTATACCACTGTACTTCAGCCTGGGCGACAGAATGAGACTCCATCTCAAAAAAAAAAAAAAAAGAAAAGGAATACATGATTATTCCATCACAATTAATTAGTGACAATAAAAACAGCTGTTTGTTGGCACATATGTGCCAGCACTATTCTAAATGCTTAATTTTAATCATCACAACAACCGTGTGAGGTAAATACTGTTACCTCTGGTTTTCAGATGAGTTAGCAGAGGCAGGGAATTGAAGTTACTGGCCCAAGGAAGAACAGCTAGTAGACAGCAGTCAAGGCAGCCTGGCTCCATGGCAGTGTGTTTGGTCAGAGATGTGAATATATAGGATTTACAGATTTTTAGCCTTTTTAGCTGTAGACTCATTTAGACAAATGGTACCAAGATATTTTAGTAGATAAAATCCTGGGTTAGTAGAACATAGACCACATATAAGCTCATATCAGTTGATAGAAGAAAAATGGTTTTACAAATTATCTTCAACATCTCTCTCAAACCTTTACCTCTCCATCTAATTACAGATCCCACTTCCAGCCGGGCCCCTCATGTATCCACTGGCCGACCGCAGAGTGTCCCTACCTCCTCTCCAGAGCATCATTCCTTTCTATCTGCTGCCAGAGCCACGGTGCCATTTACTCCAAGGACTCACTTTCTACAATTCCACACCTGGAGTGACCTCTCGTCGCTCAGCATCCACTTTGTGTCTCCAAATCGTGTAGGACTCTGTAATCTTTTGATTAGCTCCTGAGAAAACACAATGAAGCATTTCACTTTTTTATTCAGAGCCATTTAATAAAACACACAGTTGGTCAGCCCAGTGCAAAGCTTATTTCTTATCTGCCACCAGTACGTACCATTGGTTCTCTTCATTCCTTGGGCCAGCTTCTCAGGTGGCTTTAGACCTCAACGAGTCGTATCTTAGCCAGTGTTCCATCTTGTTCCCCTAAATTAGTAAAATGCTTTTCTCCAGGATTTTGGTGAGGGGTTGGCTGTGACTGTGGTTTTGCTAATTCATCTCCCAGATTTCAAAGAATTACCGGTTTTGCCATGACTCAAATCTTAAGATCTGTTTCTACTATTTAGTTTCTCAAACCGAAGCTCATTGAAAAAATACTGTATAATGTTATTTGTTTTATCAGAGCAGTTATTCCTAATTAAAGCAGTATTTAATGCAATTTCCAGTTATTTCTTTGGAGAATTTTATGTCATCGTTGCATTACCCTGAATGTTGAGAAGATGTGATGTGTGTTGCTTGTTCATCAAAAATCAGTAAGCACAATAAAGTGGATGCCAAACCATCAAACACTTAGATGTTCCTGCTATGTCCCTGGATATGTAATAAGCAAGTATAAAAAATAATTATAGTTTTGTTATAAATATAACTTATGAGAAAAAAATTTGATAGGAACAATACTGTATATTACTAATTTTTAACTATCCCTACTGGCGAACCTTATGACTCACAGAATTTTCTCATATACAGTATTCAGTGCACAAGAAATCTTATGATTGGGTCAAGTACAGTAAGTTATTTCTAAGAAAATCTCTCAAGTCCGAGTCAGTATTGTAGCTCTCCTTTTGACTGTATGTTCCTAGGATCAGGGCTGCTTATGCCTTTCATTCATCCTTGGGTTTGAGAGCACTGTATTTGGGAGAGAGTTTAAAAATACATTAAGAGAGGGAGACCATTGAAAGTTTCACTGTCAGAAATATTGTAGGTGCTAATACTGGATTTCGTCTTTCAGATTTAATTTCTTTTATGCGTCTGTTAGTCATTCAATAAAGCCCGTAAGTATGTGTAACATTTTAATTGTGTAAAACTTGTTACCTTACAGCCTGTAACAGTGTGTCTGCATTTTCAACCGGTTGCAATAACTTTGCTGAAATATTAACACATTAATAAAACTTTTCTTAAACAAAGTGTCTCTGTGTCATATTAGTGGGTTTTGGTGGTAAATGATAGGACAGTAAATTTGGCAGATAATACTAGAATTGTAGTAGTGTAGTATTCAGTGAGGCTTAGTGTTTTAAAATATCTTACATTTCTGTGTCATACCTCTCAATTTCTTATGTTTTATCTTACCAGAGCTGGTATATTATAGGTAAAAAGCAAGGAGTAGTCATTGGCAAAACCTGAGTCCTGTCCTCCTGCTCTCCTCCCTGGACAGCATTAGCCTCACCACTCGCTACACCTTCTCCACAAACTACCAGCCTGGGCTCTGAGCCAGCTACGGCACCCAGCCGGTCAGCAACAGGGCCAGCGTCTGTGCAGGTGCCAGGGGCTCAGGCTCCCAAATCTCTGTGTCCTGCTCCGCCGATTTCTGGGGTCTGGAGGCCTGGCCACAGGGGGTCTGGCAGGAATGGGGGGCCTCCAGAATGAGAAGGAGACCATGCAAAGCCTGAACGATTGCCTGGCCTCCTACATAGACAGAGTGAGGAGCCTGGATACTGAGAACCAGAGGCTGAAGAGCAAAATTTGGGAGCATCTGGAGAAGGGACCCTAGGTCAGAGACTAGGGGCCGTTACTTCAAGACCACTGAGGACCTGAGGGCTCAGATCTTCACAATACTGTGGACAATATTGACATCATTCTGCAGATCTACAATGCACATTCGCTGCTGATAACTTCAGAGTCAAGTACGAGACAAAGCTGGCCATGTGCCAGTCTGTGGAGAGCGACATCCATAGGCTCCACAGGGTCATTGATGATACCAGTGTCACTCACTCGGCTGCAGCAGGAGACAGATCAAGGCTGTCAAGGAGGAGCTGCTCTTCATGGAGAAGAACCACAAAGAGGAAGTAAAAGGCCTACAAACTCAGATTGCTAGCTCTGGGTTGACCATGGAGGTAGATGCTCCCAAATCTCAGGACCTCACCAAAATCATGGCAGACATCAGGGCCCAATACAATGAGCTGGCTCAGAAGAACCAACAGTAGTGGACAAGTGCTGATCTCAGCAGATTGAGGAGAGCACCACAGTGGTCACCACGCAGTCTGCCAAGGTCAGAGCTGCTGAGATGACATGGAGCTGAGACGTATAGTCCAATCCTTGGAGATCGACCTGGAGTCAATGAGAAATCTGAAGGCCCCCTTGGAGAACAGCCTGAGGGAGGTGGAGGCTTGCTATGCCCTGCAGATGGAGCAGCTCAACAGGATCCTGCTGCACCTGGAGTCAGAGCTGGCACAGACCTGGGCTGAGGGACAGCACCAGGCCCAGGAGTACAAGACCCTAATGAACATCAAGGTCAAGCTGGAGGCTGATTGCCACCTACCACCGCCTGCTGGAAGACAGCAAGGACTTCAATACTCGTGATGCCCTGGACAGCAGCAACTCCATGCAAACCATCTAAAACCATCACTGACCAGATAGTGAATGGCAAAGTGGTATCTGAGACCAGTGACACTGAAGTTATGAGACATTAAGCCAGCAGAAACAGTACCCTTTGGGGAGCAAAAAGCCAATAAAAAGTTGAGAGGTGGAAAAAAAAAAAAAAAAGGAATAGTCCATGGTAATTAAAAAAACGTATATATTCTTTTGAGATGGAGTTTTGCTCTTTTTGCCCAGGCTGGAGTGCAAAGGCACTGTCTCGGTTCACTGCAACCTCTGCCTCCCAGGTTCAAGTGATTCTCTTGCCTTAGCCTCCCAAGTAGCCGGGATTACAGGCGCCCACCACCATGCCCAGCTAATTTTTGTATTTTTGGTAAGAGCTGGGGTTTCACTGTTGGCCAAGCTGGTCCCGAATTCCTGACCTCAGGTGATCTGCCCACCTTGGCCTCCCAAAGTGTTGGAATTGCAAACATGAGTCACAGTGCCCAGCCTAAAAAATGTATTTAAAGAAATAAGTCATTGGCATGTTTCATTAGGAAAAAGGTGTCACAGTTATTGTTACTATCTTGGATCACCTGATGACTCAGTTTTTTTTTTAATTTTTATTTTTCTGGGTACATAGGTGTCTATATTCATGGTGTACATGAGATATTTTGATACAACCATCCCATGCATAATAATTACATTATGTCAAATAGGCCTCTCATCCCCTCAAACATTTATCCTTTGTGTTACAAACACTCCAAATGCAGACTCCGTTTTTGTTTGTTTTGTTTGTTGAGATGGAGTTTTGCTCCTGTCACCCAGGCTGGAGTGCAGTGGTGCAATCTTCGCTCACTGCAACCTCTGCTTCCCAGGTTCAAGCAATTCTCCTGCCTCAGCCTCCTGAGTAGCTGGGATTACAGGTTTGCACCATCACATCCGGCTAATTTTTATATTTTTAGTAGAGATAGGGTTTTGCCATATTGGCCAGGCTGATCTCGAACTCCTGACCTCTGCTGATTCACCTGCCGCGGCCTCCCAAAGCGCTGAGATTATAGGCATGAGCCACCACACCCGGCCCAGACTCCATTTTTTTTTATGGGGTAGATTTGTAGAAAATTAACAACTTAGAAGTTACAGTCTATATTCCAACTTTTTTTATAAGCTTATTTTCCTATATAAAATGTTTAGTGTCTCAGCAGACGCTCGGAACTGCCGACCCAAGAGCTTCCCGCATAGGGCTGGTGGCGGGAGCGGAGTGGGTCAGGCGGGGCGGAGCCGGGGCCGTGGGCAGTGTGGGGTCCGGGCGGCGGCCAGGCCAGCGGATGGCAGGATGGGGTGCACCGTGAGCATCGAGGACAAGATGGTGGCTGAGTGCTCTAAGATGATCAACAAGAACCTGCGAGAAGGCGGCGCGGGAGGTGAAGTTGCTGCTGTTGGGTGCTGGGGAGTCAGGGAAGAGCACCATCATCAAGCAGATGATCATCCAGGAGGATGGCTACTCCGAGGAGGAATGCCGGCAGTACAGGGCGGTTGTCTACAGCAACACTGTCCAGTCCATCATGGCCATTGTCAAGGCCATGGGCAACCTGCAGATCGATTTCGCCGACCCCTGCAGAGCGGATGATGCCAGGCAGCTGTTTGCACTGTCCTGCACTGCTGAGGAGCAGGGCGTGCTCCCTGATGACCTGTCCGGCGTCATCCGGAGGCTCTGGGCTGACCATGGTGTGCAGGCCTGCTTTGGCCACTTGGGGGAATACCTGCTTAACGACTCAACCGCCTACTACCTGAATGACCGGGAGTGCATTGCACAGAGTGACTACATGCCCACACAGCAAGATGTGCTAGGACCCACGTAAAGACCACAGGGATCGTGGAGACACACTTCACCTTCAAGGACTTACACTTCAAGATGTTTGATGTGGGTGGTCAGCGGTCTGAGCAAAAGAAGTGAATCCACTGCTTTGAGGGTGGCACAGCCATCCTCTTCTGCATAGCATTGAGCTCCTATGACTTGGTGCTAGCTGAGGACGAGGAGATGAACTGCATGCATGAGAGCATGAAGCTATTCGACAGCATCTGCAACAAGTGGTCCACAGACATGTCCATCATCCTCTTCCTCAACAAGAAGGATCTATTCAAGGAGAAGATCACACACAGTCCCCTGGTCATCTGCTTCCCTGAGTACACAGGGGCCAACAAGTATGATGAGGCAGCCAGCCACATCCAGAGTAAGTTTGAGGACCTGAATAAGCGCAAAGATACCAAGGAGATCTACACGCACTTCACGTGTGCCACCAACACCAAGAACGTGCACTTTGTGTTTGACGCCATCACTTGATGTCATTATCAAGAACAACCTGAAGGACTGCGGCCTCTTCTGAGGGGCAGCAGGGCCTGGCAGGATGGGCCGCCGCCAACTCTGTACCCCCAACCCCTGAGGAAGATGGGGGCAAGAAGACCACGCTCCCCGCTTGTTCCCCCAGCCGCTTTTCTCCTCTTTCCTCTCTTTGTTCTCAGCTCCCCATCCCCTCAGCTCCAGACATAGGGGAGGGGTTGCCACAGGCCTCCCTGTTTGAAGCCTGCCCTTGTTTGAGGTGCCAGTAATGGCCATGGTACCCCCTTTCTGGGCATCTGTTCTGGTTTTTAACCATTGTCTAGTTCTGTGATGGGGGGAGGGGGGCACATGCTGAGTCTCCCAAGGCTGCATCTGGAGGAGCCCCCACTTCGCCAGCCTGGACCCCTAGCTTTGTCCAACACCAGCCTCTGCCCCAGCCCAAGTCCAAATGTTTACGGGAGCCTCCTGCCCAGTTCCCCATCCCACAGCCGCTTGGAGGCCCCAAAGGAAAAAGCACAAGAAGCGTGAGATGCCACCATTCCTGGAGACCACAGTCCACCTGCTCATTCTCGTAGCTTTTTCAAAAAATGAAAATAAAGGGAAAAAATGCAAATCTAGAAAACTTTTTAGAGAAAAGCTATTTAAAACTATCAGATCCTGACCAGCAGCCCCCTCAGCCCCACTTCCAAGTGACTCAGTGCCTTGAGTGTGTCTGCGTGTTTACACCCATCCCTCTCCTGGCCGCCCCTGTGTGAGCAGCACCCCTGCCCTGCCCTCCACAAAATTGGGTTCCAAGGGCTGTTCCAGACAAATGCCAACGTCACTGAGGGCCCTGCCCCAGCGGCCCTGGGCCCAGGCTCCATTAACCTAAATGTAGCTCCTTAGCACTAACCTGGGAACGGCAGCTGCTTGCTGGGGGGCCACACCCCTCATGCCCTCGTCCCAGGCACGGGGCCTTCTGCGTTGAACACTTCCTTGCTTTTTTTCACATGTTTTATGGAATTGTTCACCTGGTTTGAAATAATAAAATGTAGAAAGAAAAAAAAAATGTTCAGTGTCTCTCCTTATCCATTGAAACTCATAGTAGATAATATATGTAGCCAGGAGTAAAAAGAGGTCATAACACCTCAATTAAATTCCTTCCATATTCTACCTAGCCCTGGTTCCTAGCACAAGGTAAAGTTACAGTTTCCCGGGAATAACATGCTTTGTTTGTTGTTATTTGTTTTCATGTCAAAGGAGATCAGAGTGTTGGTGCCATATCTGATTTATGTACTTACCTCCCCTCCCTGCCACCAGCTTCTTTACCCCTCCCAACAAAGGAGATTGCACATTCCATGAGGGCAGAGGGGGTTGCCTACCTACCCTTTCATCCACCGCACACTCCGTGCATCCTCATACGCAGTGCTACAGATACTTAGCTCTCACATATTTGTTTTTTTTTTTTTTTTTTTTTTTTTGAGACAGCGTTACCCAGGTTGGAGTGCAATGGCGTGATCTCGGCTCACCGCAACCTCCGCCTCCTGGGTTCAGACAATCCTTCTGCCTCAGCCTCCTGAGTAGCTGGGATTATAGGCACACGCCACCATGCCTAGCTAATTTTTTGTATTTTTAGTAGAGACGGGGTTTCACCACGTTGACCAGGATGGTCTCGATCTCTTGACCTCGTGATCCACCTGCCTCAGCCTCCCAGAGTGCTGGGATTACAGGTGTGAGCTACCGCGCCCGGCCGCTCTCACATATTTGTAAAGTGAATGAATGAATGAGAGGTGAGTTGATTCATCGGGTCATTAACATCAGAATAGAATTACTGTGTTACACCTGGATTGGTGTGGTGTTAGTCTGGCTTTTGATAGGCAGTGATTTGTGTGCTCCCTTGGTAAAGTCTTCTGAAACTGAGAGGAGATTATCTGTGGCTTATCCTCCAATAGAGTGGGCTTCTCCCTGGAGATAAGTACCTTGAGCGTTCTAATGCCCTTTAATTCTAGATTAGGAATTCCCAGGGAAAGGAAAAGAATTGCATCCAAACCTCTGAGTTGGGTAATGTAAATAATAAATAAGCCTCCTGCTCATGCTTTGTCCTTTATTATTCTCCGTGTAACATTAAGTCTAGCTATTCTTTTAACTTACTTAGTCTTCTGATAAAAGTTTATTTTCACTGTAATCCCAGCTATTCCGGAGGCTAAGGCAAGAGTATCACTTGAACCTGGGAGGCAGAGGTTGCAGCGAGTCAAGATCACGCCACTGCACTTCAGCCTGGGCAACAAGAATGAAACTCCATCTCAAAAAAAAAAAAAAAAAGTTTATTTTCAGGTAATTTCCACTTCAAAATTCTCTAAGGACCAAATAAAGCACAAACAATACTTTGTACTCATTTGAGTTCTTGCTACTGAATTTCTCTATGTAAAATCAAAGTTATAATAACAATATGAAAAATGTGCTTGTTGCTCATTAGATAAAATGAATCAAACAGGCTTGTCTGACATTACTAGAGACTACTCTGTAATGCAAATACCAGCTGAAACAGGCCAGAGTGGTCCTGTCCTCATGTGTGCTTTCCAGAGGATATACATCGATAACTATAACCGTTACACAGTGACCAGCTTTAATGTGCAAGGGTGTCAGTGTGAAGGATTTTATTCTCCCCCACCCCCAAGAGCTGGAATAAATGGCTTTATGATAGTACTGTTCGGAACTGGACTCAAAACTTGAAAATGTACAGAAAACAGAAAACTTCTGACGAGCATCCCATTTGCTGTGAATTATTGGGAATGCCAAAATGGGGATTGTGGCCCACCTACATGCTAGGATTGTTAGGGTACAGCAATACATGTATTTTGCTCCAAAATGAGTAGATACAGAATTACAGAACCAAAATAAAGACCTCAGCTCTTCTGAATTACATCCTAAGTTCTTCCAGTATATGCATCTCAAATGCTGCAGATATGAAGTTCTGTGAAATCCTGCCTATAACCAGGAAGCCCTACGGGAACTTAACGTCTACTCTTTACATTTTTTGTTTGTTTTGAGATGGAGTCTCACTCTGTTGCCAGGCCGGAGTGCAGTGGCACAATCTTGGCTCACTGCAACCTCCACCTCCTGGGTTCAAGTGATTCTCCTGCCTCAGCCTCCTGAGTAGCTGGGACTACAGGCGTGTACCACTATGCCCAGCTAATTTGTGTATTTTTAGTAGAGATGGGGTTTCACCATGTTGACCAGGATGGTCTCGATTTCTTGACCTCATGATCTGCCTGCCTCAGCCTCCCAAAGTGCTGATTACAGGCATGAGCCACCACACCCGGCCTACTCTTTACATTTTTAAGCCTCCACTTTGAAAAAATAATAATTTTTATAAGTTAGGCACTACCAAGATCTTTGGTTAAGGGTTATTGTCAAGTGAAAACAAGTTTATGCTAGCAGGATGTTTTGGGTTTTTAAAAAATAGTATCTGAGCAATAAAAGGATTTATTGGCCTAGTAACTTATCTAACTTTGTGCTGTCACATTTTACTTTGCTAGTGAAATCTTTAATCTTCAGAATTAGAAACTATCTTTGAAGAAATTCTTTGTTTCACCCACAAAGAGTTCTTTAAAAAAAAAGAGAGAGAGAGAGACTTAAAAATTCACCCATTCTCTGCCATATCTGTTCTTGATCTTTGTTTCTGTTCATGTATATATTCTTTCACCTCATGTTTTAACAAACCAGTTTGTTGCCAGGAAATGATAATAATTTGCATTGAAAATGTTTTGGTAATTACTCTTCACAGAGCAGCCGAGTGTCAAACAACGTAACTAGAAGCTGAGATTCTGAGATGCTGCAAGGACTGAGAAACATGGATGTGATCTTTCCTCCCAGCGACAGGATTCATGTGCACGACCTGCACATCTTTGTTTACGTCATAAAATCTATAAATGTTTTTACTTAGTCCAGTTTCTACTTTCTTAGATGTTTGAAGGATTGTGTGCTTGAAAATCAACATCTGTGGCCAGGCACGGTGGCTCATGCCTATAATCCCAGCACTTTGGGAAGCCAAGGTGGGCTAAGCATTTGAGGTCAGGAGTTCAAGACCAGGCTGGCCGATATGGTGAGACCCCGTTTCTATTAAAAATACAAAAATTAGCTGAGTATGGTGGTGCATGCCTGTGATCCCAGCTACTTGGGAGGCCGAGGCAGGAGAATTGCTTGAACCCAGGAGGCAGAGGCAGCAGTGAGCCAAGATTGCACCACTGCACTCTAGCCTGGGTGACAGAGCAAGACTCCTCAAAACAAAAACAAAAAATTAGGGGCCGGGTTCACACCTATAATCCCAGCACTTTGAGAGGCCACGGTGGGCGGATTACTTGAGCCCAGAAGTTGAGAACAGCCTGGGCAACAGTGAAACCCTGTCTCTACAAAAAATACAAAAATTAACTGGGCATGGTGGCCCACGTCTGTGGTCCCAGCTACTTGTGGGGCTGAAGTGGGAGGATCACTTGAGCCTGAGAGGTCGAGGCTGCAGTGAGCCAAGATCATACCACTGCACTCCAGCCTGGGTGACAGTGTGAGACCCTGTCTCAAAAACAACAACAACAACACACACACACACAATTAGGAAAGACCAAATACCATGTTTTTGGGCATTTTTAATACCGCAGAAAAGATCTTCGCTTAAAATTTAATGACATGGAGGGACTATTGCAGGTTACTTAAAAGTAACCAGAAACCCCACAGCAGCCATCTGACAACAGAAACTTCACCAGCCTCTGCCAGCAACAGTAAAATAATCAGATCCCTGATAGGGACTCCCTGAGAAGTTCTGAAGAAACTTGCTTGTGACTCTTGTTTTCTTATTCCCCAGTACTGTACAGATTTTGAATTGACCGCAAGTTTTCCTTTAAGGAAACGTGTGTTGCCAGAGTAATACACACTGCATATTAACTTCATGCAGCAGTTAAGCAAGTAAAGATGCCTCTGAAACCAAAGCCAGCATTTAGGTTCAGAGGATAAAATTTGATCTGAGCATTCATTTAACAGATAAGCTTGACTGGACTCAGTGGCTCATGCCTGTAATCCCAGCACTTTGGGAAGCCAAGGCAGGTGGATCACGATCAGGAGTTCGAGACTAGATTGGTCAACATGGTGAATTCTCATCTATTCTAAAAATACCAAAAAAAAAAAAAAAAAAATTAGCCAGATGTGGTGGCAGGCGCCTGTAATCCCAGCTACTCGAGAGGCTGAGGCAGGAGAATCACTTGAACCCAGGAATTCAGAGGTTACAGTGAGCCGAGATTACACCACTGTACTCCAGCCTGGGTAACAAGAGTGAAACTCCACCTAAAAAAAAAAAAAAAAAAAAAAACAGATAAGCTTAGTAAAAATTGAGAAAAATATTTGCCTGGCAATCGAGGTCCCAACAAGGTTTTCCATTGACATGCTGGTTCTAGAAAAGGTGAAGAGACATGCTCTGTATCTAGCAAGACATAAAGTTGTAGTAGCTGAATGTAGTAGTCTCATTGGTGGAAGAGTAGGCTCACGGATGATGGAACAGAAGAGTGACCTGCATGCAGACCTCAGCACATATGAATGGTGTTCTGGATCATCTCCTTTTGTCTCTAATGTCTTTTTTCCTTCCCTGTGCTCTTTATGTTCTAGAAGACTAATCTGAGCAGGCTGCATCAACCTGGCTCCCTTGTCCTGTGGCTTCTGGTAGGGGTCAGGCAAGGGAATTATCAGCAGCGGACCTGAGCATGGGACACTGCATCATGAGAGTGGCTATTTAGACAGCTGCTTAGGGATCTGGAAAGACACAACTGGAGGCTGGCAAGGAAGAGGAGAGGAACCCTATGTGGATGGACCTCTAGAAGTGGGCATAGAATGTAAAGAAATTCATATGCCATGTATGCCCACTGCATAGCATCCCTGTAGCAAGGTTCTCACTGCAGGAAAGGAAGTGGAAAGTCCTCTGATATCAGTCATCCTCTTTCCCAGCCTTTCTGGTGCTGGCTCAGTGGGTCCATGTGAAAAGGTGGACACAGCAAGGATGAAGCCTACATGGGGCTCTGCAACATGGGCTTCTTTCCATCATGGTTGACCTGGCCACTGCTACTGCTGGGAGTCCAATTGGCCAATGGAGAGCCATGCTAAGCCCACAATGTGGCACCATTTTCCAGGAGGGAGTTTTGGTTATATGTTTTAATTACTGAATGTGTTATGTATAAAATTGTTCTTTTGGTGCCGAAAAGAAAATTTGTCATGGGACAAAGGATCTCTCAGCAAAGCAATTCTTTTTCTTTCTGCAGAAAGGGTACTCCCATTAGCGATCTTGCCACAAGAGTACAATGAACAAAGGAAAACAGACAAATTTATCCCTTATGCATTTGGGGTCATCCTTACTGCTGTGTCTGATCTCCAATGGCTGAAACCAGACCTCACAATCTAAACTAAAATTCTATTGGCTAATAACTTAAAACTTTTCTAAATGGGTAAAAGCAATGGAGTGCTGGGACATGACTTTGAGCACATCCAGCACAGATATCTCGGTTAAAGCACAAGGGCATAGAATGCACTACATGACTATAAGCATGGTATGTCTAACAGCTACACAGGATAGGGCTTAACAAAGTTATTAGCAGACTTGTTCTTTAACAAGAAAGGAAACTCTAAAAAAGAACTTTTCAACTTCTCACAGAATGATACTTAAGGAGATAATGGAACTCTTTTTTTTATTTAAGCAGAGTGACAACAGTAATCAGTTTTTGTCCAGGGACAGGGGAAGAACTATCCTCAACAAATAAATATAGAGACAAAAATAAACTTGTTTTATGAGCACATGTCCTGAGTTATGCTAATTGATGCCATGAGTCAACACACACAGAGCTCATATTACCATATTATTTTGGGGTACACACTTGGTCAGATTTAAAAACATCTCTGGAAACAGACCAGACACAGTAGCTCACACCTGGAATCCCAGCATGTTGGGAGGCTGAGGTAGGAGGATCAGTGAGGCCATGAGTTTGAGACCAACCTGGGCAACATAGTGAGACAAAAAACAAATTAGCAGCCGGGCACGGTGGCTCGCACCTGTAATCCCAGCACTTTGGGAGGCCGAGGCAGGCAGATCATGAGGTCAGGAGTTCAAGACCAGCCTGGTCAACATGGTGAAACCTTGTCTCTACTAAAAATACAAGAATTAGTTGGGTTTGATGACGTGCACCTGTAATCCCAGCTACTCGGAAGGCTGTGGCAGGAGAATGGTTTGAACCCAGGAGGCAGAGGTTGCAGTGAACCAAATTCATACCATTGCACTCCAGCCTGGGTGACAGGGTGAGACTCCGCTTCAAAAAAGACCCAAAAAACAAATTACGCGGTCATGGTGGCGCACACCAGAGTCCCAGCTATTCGGGACGGTGAAGCGGGAGGATTACTCAAGCCCAGCAGGTCAAGGCTGCAGTGAGCTGTGGTTGCACTCTGGCCTGGTGACAGAATGAGACCCTGCCTCTATTAAAAACAAAACAAAAATACTATTTTTAAGACCAGTAACCACCACATTGAAGATACTGGTTAACATCTAGAGAGTGAGGAACAGGAATGAGGTCAGAAACAGGAGCGCCACAGACTTAGATTGAGTTTGTCATGTTAAATGGCTTCTTATCATTCGTACTTTTTCAAATGCCTAAAAGAACCAACAACTTGCACTTGTCAGTATGGATTACCATATCCTAAATATCATGCACACCAGTTAATATCTTCAGTGTTCTGACTGGCTTTGATCATGTGGATGCAATAACCACCACCCCCTAGGACTCCGCTCAGGTCTCCAACATCAATTTCCTCTAAGCCTCCAGGCCTGCTCAGCTCGTCGATTCCATTGGTTGTCAATAGGGACTAGCCTCTGAGCTCCCCAGTTCTAATTATAACCCCCACAAATGGTGGAAAATGTGAAAAAGTGGCTTTTTCTTGCTTACAAGTATACGAGTAGACCTCTAAAATAAATGAATTAAACTTCCAGCCTAGAAGCAGCCTATAGCCAAGGGTGAAGTTCAGAGTCAAGCTGAATTTCTCACTGAAAGTAAACATGTTTAAGATAAAGCAAAGAGGAAGGGACTAGGAAAACATGATCTCGCTTCACAGAGAGAAGTCAAAGGCAACAGCAGCCCTTACAGCTCCATGGGCCACATTCAATTCTTATGGATGACAATGCGTTAGCAACTCAGGGCATGACAGCTGTTCACAGCAAGATCAGCAATAACAGACCAAATAACCCAAGGCTTCTGGTTCTTGTCTCAAAAAATGAGCTAAATTAGTAGTACAATACTCAGATAGTGGTATGTGGCATGGAACATAATCATCCTGTTCTCTAGCCTTCTGAGAAATAGCAGGTGAAAGTCAAACTCAATTAAGGTATTTATTTTTACCAGTGAGAAACCTGTGTTTCAGTGAAGAAACCTGTCATAACCTGGCACTCCCGCTTGCAGAGGATCAGCAGGACATGTGAGGAGGCTGCAGGATGGTGGACTGTGAGCAGCAGGCCTGGAGGCAGAGCCTAAGTCTTACCTCTTTCTTTCCCTAGAGCTGAGCACAGCAGCCACACATGGTACGTGCTCAGCAGCCATTCAGCAAGGACGTGATCAATGTGGCTTCTTTAATCATTCAAGTCCCTATGTTGATCAAGTAAGACGATGGGTTAACAAAGTCCTGTCTTGGGGAAGGGGCATGCCTGAGACTGTGGTGACTTCTAATATGAAGCTCCATGGACATGGAAGTACTCTTCTGGCCAGGCCTGGGTAATAGCAGGCACAATGGGAGTGATGGAGAAAAGGAAAGCTGTCAATTCTTCCACAGCGGGGGAGCTACAGCCCTATCCACAGAGCAGGGGAGAGCTGCACCAGGGATCCTTCCTCCTGCAGAGGCCTGTGGCTTTCTCCTTTGCCATCACCTTCCTGGCCTCCAGTGGATCTGGGAGGAAGCAGGACATTCTCTCCATTCCTGGAGACAGGGTGGGAGTAGGAAGGAGACCTGGGACTGCTGCTTTGCCTAGACTTGCCGTGAGCAGGGTGCCAGCCTCCTGTAGGAAGCTCTGCCTGGGGGTGAAGGAGAGAGACAGGGAGAATCCACCACTCTATATAAAGCAGGTCAGCTACTTACACATGCTGGATTACACTCAAACCACCAGTCGGCAAGCTTTGCTGTAAAGTGCCAGGCAGTAAATCATTTGGGCTTTATGAGCCTTATGGTCCCTGTTGCAGCTACTCTGTTCGGCTGTTTTAGCACAAAAGCAGCCACAGACAATACACGAATGTATGGGTGTGACTGTTTTCCAATAAAATTCTATTTGCAAAGTGTGCAATGGACTGGATTTGGCCCACCAGCCGCAGTTTGCTATTTCCTTCTGGAAACATCTGGAAGCTTACATCTCTGATTTGACAAGCTGATTTTGGTCCCTCTGTTTCTGACCTATTTGTTTTCTATTTGCTGAATCCCACAGATCCTGACGTCTGTGTGCTGGACCCTCACCCAGTCACCCAGGCCCTATATCCGTGGTGTCTGCTGCCTGGGCTGGACTCTGGCTCCAAGTGGCCCTGGCACAGGCACACACCCATGGAGATGGAGAAGAGGCACATGGAAACCGGTGGAGAGCAGTGAGCAGAGAGTGGAGCTGCCCAAGAGAGAAGGTGTGAGTGCTCATCTCGGGTGGACTGAGGAGGAAGAGCAGCCAGGCTTGTTTTCTGAGCTCAGCTGAAACTGCTATTTAGAGTTTCCCTGGCTCAAAACCAACTCCAGAGTGTTAGATTTCTCCTGGGAGGGATTTATAGACCTCTGGTCCAGGCCGGCTTATATGTCTTTGAGGTGAAATCTCTTGGCTTTACTCTGATGTCACCTGAAGCCAGTGGAACTCTCCAGGGGTAACGCTCTTTCCCGCTGGGCTAGGCCTCCCTCCTTGCCTCTAGGTTGACTCGGGGTGATAACCTTTTTCTTTTTAGACCGAGTCTCGCTCTGTCATCCAGGCTGCAGTGCAGTGGTGTGATATTGGCTCATGGCAACCTCCGCCTCCTGGGTTCATGCAATACTCCTACCTTAGCCTCCCAAGTTGCTGGGACTACAGGCATGCACCACCACGCCCGGCTAGTTCTTGTATTTTTAGTAGGAACGGGGTTTTCACCATGTTGGCCAGGCTGGTCTCAAACTCCTGACTTCAGGTGATCCACCCGCCTTGGTCTCCCAAAGTGCTGGGATTACAGGCGTGAGCCACTGTGCCTGGGGTGTTAACTTCTTCTCTCACTCTCAAAGCCTGAGGGATTTGGGTGGGGCCTGGGGGTCACTGGATCTAATTTTGTTGTATTTTACTGGCGAATAAACCAAATCTCCAAGGGAGAAACTAAGTTGCTCAGTGTCACAAGCCGGTCAACAGCAGATCTAGACTCAGATCCAAGCCTCTTGGTGCTGACATCTGTCCCAGGCATGGCACTTGCCTCTTCCGTGTTTTTCCCTTTTGGGTCCCTGTTTTGGAAGAACCTCTCAAACTGAGTTTCTCCTCTACTTTCACACCAATACAGCAACAATCATCAACACAGAAGATGTCCGTGATCAAAGGTGTGGGGTTTTCCTATACACACCAAGTGGCAGACACCAGCTGGGTGTCCTCCAATTCCACTCCAACACTGTCTACCTGGAGAGAGTGTCAGAACCCACAGTTTGGGGGCTCAATCCCAAGAATGCCCTCTCACCCACCCCAAGACACCATTTGTAAGTCGGGACCTCCGGAATTTCTGACCAACCAGTTTCAAGTTGGGGCACCCAGGGATCCATCTTTAGGTTTGATAAATTTGATGGAGAGGCTCAGAGAACTCAGAGAAACACTTATCTCTTTATTATAAAGGATATTCTGAGAAATACAGATGAAGAGGTACATGGGGTGAGGCATGGGAGGGGGGTGCAGAGCTTCCCTGCCTTTCCTGGGTGCCACCCTCCAGGAACCTCCATGTGTTCAGCCATTTGGAAACTCCTAACTCAGTCCTCCTGGGTTTCTGTGGAATTTTCATGGTGTCAGCATTCCTTTCCCAAGGATATAAGACAGGGCCTTCTCTGGGGAGGGTCTTACGACCCACAATCAGAAAGGGAAGATTAGGGTCCTGCCTGGGACAGGTGAAAGGAGGATAGGAAAGGTCAAGAGATTCTGTTTCCTGAGGCCTAACACAACCATTACAGCAAAAGACTGTAACCAGGGCCATGGGGGTTATGAGCCGGAAACTGCGAATGAAAACCTAAATCTACCTGCCTGCCTACCTGCCTACCTGCCTGCCTACCTACCACCTACCTACCTGCCTGCCTACCTACCACCCACCTACCTACCTATCTGCCTACCTGCCTGCCGGCATACCTACCTACTTGCCTGCCTACCTGCCTACCTACCTACCTGCCTGCCTACCTATCTGCCTGCCTGCATACCTACCTACCTATCTACCTACCTGCCTGCTACCTGCCTACCTACCTACCTGCCTGCCTACCTACCTGCCTGCCTCCATACCTACCACCTACCTACCTGCCTGCCTACCTACCTGCCTGCCTACCTACCTACCTACCTGCCTGCCTACCTACCTGCCTGCCTGCATACCTACCTACCTACCTACCTACCTGCCTGCCTACCTACCTGCCTGCCTACCTACCTGCCTGCCTACCTACCTACCTACCTACCTACCTGCCTGCCTACCTACCTGCCTGCCTGCATACCTACCTACCTACCTACCTACCTGCCTGCCTGCCTGCCTACCGACCTACCTACCTGCATACCTACCTGCCTACCTACCTGCCTGCCTACCTACCACCTACCACCTACCTATCTGCCTACCAATCTACCTATTAATTCTATATCTATCTATGTATCTATCTATCCATCCATCCATCCATTCATCGGATCATAACACCACAGTGTCTCACTCCTGAATTTCCTGAGTTGGTCACACTTTTGCTCTGAAAGGCAGCGCAAAAAAGCCATGAAATGTACAAATGACTCCCATGGACTCTCTTCTCATGACCGTTTATTGTGGTTCTGGTTCTTCCTGCCTTTGTTCCCCACCTCACCCTGGAAACCCTGGTTCAGATTCCTGCAGCAGGTCCTCCTAGTCCTCAGGTAGCTTGTGGTGCTTTTAGAATGAGAGTTCATTACGAGAAGTGATAATTCATGTGCTGTTGGTGTAACAAATTCCACCTTCCCCTCCCTACTCACCTCTCTGTGAGTTGTTAGAGCGCAGTCTCATCACCCGTGTTCTGTCCGTAAAATATGCACTCCCATCGTGGAAGATTGTGGCTGTTCTCCCTTAATTTTTTAAAAAGGCAAACATAAAATAAAAACAAGAGGACCGAGGAGATCTAATTAAGAATCCACAAAGCAGCGGTTGGTATCCCCATTATCTGGCCGGAGTGAGATTGCTGTTTTCTTTCCAGCCTGTCACTGATATAAATGAGTTCTTAATTCCTCCTTTTATGGAGAACAGGTTATCGCGTTCCTATTCATTAAGTGACTTCAAGGCCCTGCAGCAGAGCTGAATGCTAGTTTAAATTCACAGATTCTTCCCCTGGTGTCACTGGTGAGGCGCAAGAATAGGGAGTCCCAGGAAAGGTAATGCAGTCCCCTGGGCACCCACCATTTCTGGGTTTGGGGCCTGAGGGGTGAGGAGCCGGATTAGTGACCTTGGAGCTATTTGAAGGACATTCCCATCCATCCCTCCTCCCTGCCCACAGGATAAAGCTCAAAATCCTTACCATGCATGGCGGGATGTTACGTTTTTTCCTCTGTAGTTTCCTTTTCCAATCTTTTTTCTTTTTTTCTTCTTTTCTTCTTTGTTTTCAATAGAGACAGGGTCTTGCTCTGTCACCCCAGATGAAGTACAGTGGCATGATCATGGCTCGTGGTAGCCCAGAGCACCTGAGTTCAAGCAATCCTCCTGCTTCAGCCTCCCGAGTAGCTGGGAATACAAGCATGTGCCCCCGCCCAGATAATTATTTTTATTTTTACCTTTTGTGGAGTCTGAGTCTTGCTATGTTACCCAGGCTGGTCTTGAACTCCTGAGCTCAAGCAGTCCTCCTGCCTCGGCATCCCAAAGTGTTGGGGTTACAGATGTGAGTCACCACTCCTGGCCTTGCTCCGGTCTTAACTGATACCTTTCTTCCCATGTCGTCTCCCCAGCAGGTGCTCACTGTGGCCACAGCGAGTCACTCTCTGGACAGCTCCTGCAGCTTCCTGTTGCTGGCTGTTTAAAGCAATTTTTATGCCACAGGCTGCTAACCCCTTTATTTATAACACTTGAAACTTCCTAAAATATTTCACAAACAAGAGGCTGAGCTGATTACTGTAGACAGAAGGCTTGGACTAGAAGTTGTGAGATAATCAATTGTTAAAGAGAAAGAAAAACAGAGGTAGAAAACAAAAGAAAAAGATGAAAAGATGAAAAAAAGGTAGAATTTCTGGGTCCAGAATTGAAACATTGGGTTTACAGTATTTTTAGAGAGTGGAATGAGGATGGCAGTGGCAATCCAGCGGATTTTCCATTTTGCAGTTTGAATGTCTTTGGTGATGACGTCCCATACGTGATCTGCTGTGATGAGTCCTTTAAGTTTTTACCAAGACAATCCATTAAGCTTGCAGGACTTTTACAGATCCTCTGTGGAAAGGGGCAGCTACAAGACAAGCTAGGGTCCCCAGTAAAGATCTGGGTAGTCAGGTCTCAGTATTTAGTGATGCCAAGTCTCAAGTGGGTAGGAGGATATTTGGAAATGTTAATTTGGAGGGCAGTGACCAGAAATTGAAGGAAGTCAGAAGAATGGAGAAATGGTGGGGTCTGAACAAGTGTGCAAGGAACATGGTGCAGTCCAATATACAGTTAGATAATAGAAGCCTAGAAATAACAAACAGGACTAGAATCTGATAACCCATAACAACGGATTTTCTGTGGCAACATAAAATCTCTATACAGTCACCTCCTTTCTGATCAGATAATTAAAGCAGTATTTGGGAAAAAATTTTTGCAGTTTACCCATCTGACAAAGGGCTGATATCCAGAATTTACAAAGAACTCAAACAGATTTACAGGAAAAAAACAAACAAGCCCATTCAAAAGTGGGCAAAGGATATGAACAGACACTTTACGAAAGAAGACATATGTGAGACCAACAATCATATAAAAAAATGCTCATCGTCACGGGTCATCAGAGAGATGCAAATCAAAACCACATTGAGATACCATCTCACGCCAGTTAGAATGGCGATCATTAAAAAATCTGGAGACAACAGATGCTGGAGAGGATGTGGAGAAAAAGGAACACTTTTACACTGTTGGTGGGAGTGTAAATTAGTTCAACCATTGTGGAAGACAGTGTGGCGATTCCTCAAGGCCTTAGAAATAGAAATTCCATTTGACCCAGCAATCCCATTACTGGGTATATATCCAAAAGACTATAAATCATTCTACTATAAGGACACATGTACACGAATGTTCATTGCAGCACTGTTTACAATAGCAAAGACCTGGAATCAACCCAAATGTCCATTGATAATAGACTAGATTGGAAAAATGTGGCACATATACACCATGGAATATTATGCAGCAATCAGAAATGATGAGTTTGTGTCGTTTGTAGGGACATGGATGAATCTGGAGGACATCATCCTCAGCAAACTGACACAAGAACAGAAAATGAAACACCGCATATTCTCACTCATATGCGGGTGATGAAAAATGAGAACACATGAACACAGGGAGAGGAGTACTAAACACTGGGGTCTATTGGGGGGAAAAGGGGAGGGCCAGTGGGAGGGGGAGGTAGGGAGGGATAACCTGGGGAGAAATGCCAAATGTGGGTGAAGGGGAGAAAGGAAGCAAGACACACTGCCATGTGTGTACCTATGCAACTGTCTTGCATGCTCTGCTCATGTACCCCAAAACCTAAAATGCAATAAAAAATTAAAAAAATAAAAAATAAAGCAGTATTATTCTTGTTTACAAAATAAGTCTTATCTCATTAAGTGTGGCCTGATTATATAAGTGCAACAAGAATAGTAATTGACTACATGGGTTTATTAAAGTTTGTTTTGTAGCAGTTGTTATAAGGAATCTCACCTTATTTTTTTGTTTTTATTTTTTTTGAGACGGAGTCTCACCCTGTCACTTAGGCTGGAGTGCAATGGTGTGATCTTGGCTCACTGCAACCTCTGCCTCCCAGGTTCAAGCAGTTCTCCTGCCTCCACCTCCCAAGTAGCTGGGATTACAGGCATGTGGCACTACGCCCAGCTAATTCTTTGTATCTTTAGTAGAGACAGGGTTTCACCATGTTGGTCAGGCTGGTCTTGAATTCCTGACCTCGTGATCTGCCCTCCTTAGCCTGCCAAAGTGCTGGGATTACAGGCGTGAGCCACCGCACCTGGACTCACATTAGATTTTAAAAGCCTCTTCAGGCCATGAAGCCAAATGAAGAACTCAATATCAAACTGCACCTGCTGTACCTATAGATTTGGGTGAATTTCTCACTTTTTTTTTGAGATGAAGTCTTGCTCTGTCATCCAGGCTGGAGTACGATGGTTCGATCTTGGCTCACTGTAACCTGTGCCTCCCAGGTTCAAGCAATTCTCCTGCTTCCCAAGTTGCTGGGACCACAGGTACATACCACCACACCTGGCTAATTTTTGTATTTTTAGTAGAGACAGTGTTTCACCATGTTGGCTAGGCTGGTTTTGAACTCCTGATCTCAGGTGATTCAACTGCCTTGGCCTCCCAAAGTGCTGGGATTACAGGTGTGAGCCACAGCTCCTGGCCCCTTAGTTCTCAAGATGCTCAAAATATTATAAGCTTCTTTATTTTTATTTTTCCTTTTACTTTACTTTTCTTTTTTTAGATAAGAATTTTGCTCTTGTTGCCCAGGCTGAAGTACAATGGTGCAATCTCAGTTCACTGCAACCTCTGCCTTCTGGGTTCAAGTGATTCTCCTGCCTCAACCTCCTGAGTAGCTGGGATTACAGGCTCCAGCCACATGCTCAGCTAATTTTTATATTTTTAGTAGAGAGGGAGTTTCACCACCTTGGCCAGGCTGGTTTTGAACTCCTGACTTCAAGCCACCCACCACAAGCTAGGATTATAGGTGTGAGCCACTGCCCTTGGCCTATTTTTATTTTTTCATACGTCAAAAACCAAGGGCCGTTTTTTGGCCTGCCAGGAAGTGGCCATCCTTACTCACCTGGAATTCTGGGAATACCGCAAGCCATGTACCATGCTGATATTTGCCAGAGAACTCTGTGAATAGTGGCTCCATAAAGTCAACCTTAGTGCCATGAAAGTGTCTGGTCATATCTGATTCTATACACATTGTGAAATGGCTCAGATCTGAATAGGAAACATTTGTCATCTATTGCCTTTAAGGACAGCCACTACAAGACTTCAAAGGAACCTTGGTCTTCACAAACTTTTCTCTTAACCTGAACATTTCTTTTCCATTAATCCCAGGTCTTTAGACAAACTCAACCAATTATCAATCAGAAGATGTTTAAATTTATCTATAGGCTTCCCCTCAGCCTCTGCTTCGAGTTGTCCCTCCTTTCTGGACCAAACCAATGTATTTCTTAAATGTATATGATGTCTCATGCCTCCCTAAAATGTATAAAATCAAGCTGCACCTCGACCACCTTGGGCACATGTTCGCAGGACCTCCTGAGGGCTGTCACAGGCCATGGTCACTTATATTTGGCTCAGAATAAATCTCTTAAAATATTTTACAGAGTTTGATGCTTTTTGCTGACAATTACATCATTACTTTCTACTATCAGGCAAAGCAGCATGAAGAATGATCATGGGTGGAAAAAAATTAATACATTTCTAGGTATTTTATAACATGCCTAAATTGTTTGTATTAATAATGTTTTCTCTTGCTAATACAACACATGGAAGATCAAGTATCATTTCTTATTTAACAAAGATTTTCATGTAATTTAACATATCAAAAAACGATTTTCAAACATTCTTCTTTTTAAAGGTGAAAAAACAAATCCTTTGAGATTTTCTGGGACCCCCCCCGAGAAATCTGTCAGTTTGAGATACAGATTTGACTTAGGATTTGGTTTTGGGAAGGCAAAATATCACAAGTTGTCAAAATGTCAAAAGGATTGAACATAGGATCATAGGTCACCATGAAATAATACCTAACCAAAGTGAAAATAAAATATTTTAAAGGTAGCTATAGAAGGCAGCATGACTTTTTTTTAAAAAAAGTTTAGATTCATATATATATATATATTTTTTTTTTTTTGAGACAGGGGTCTCTGTTGCCCAGGCTGGAATGAAGTAGTGTGATTTTTGACTCACTGTAACCTCAAACTCCTGGTCTCAGGTGATTCTCCCACCTAGCCCTCCTAAAGTGCTGAGATTACATATGTGAGCCACTGCACCCAGCCCCAAAGCCTAGCTTTTAAAAGGGAGAAAATTCACTTCTCTTAAATAATTGAGGAGATGATAAAGATAACACAACCAATTATTCTGATAAAACACAGAATCTGTTTCCCAGATGGATTATTTAAAAAGTAAAGAAAAATTATTATGACCATTTATTAGAAGCAGACCAATAATTCCAAAATACGTTGTTTTTTTGTTTTGTTTTGTTTGTTTGTTTTGAGACGTAGTTTCTCTCTTGTTGCCCAGGCTGGAGTGCAGTGGCATGATCTTGGCTCACTGCAACCTCTGCCTCCTAGGTTCAAGTGATTCTCCTGCCTGAGCCTCCCGAGTAGTTGGGATTACAGGTGCCCACCAGCACACCTGGCTAACTTTTTGTATTTTAGTAGAGATGGGATTTTATTGTGTTGGCCAGGCTGGTTGCAAACTCCCAACCTTAGGTGATCCACCTGCCTCGGCCTCCTTAAGTGCTGGGATTACAGGTGTGAGCCACTGCACCCAGCCCATATTGTCATTTTTAAGAGAGAGAAAACCAAACTCTAATTTTGCATCAGTGTACTGTTGACATTAAGGCTCACTCCAATACCTTATAAGTAAATCCACTTCATCGTGATCAGCTTGACCACATGAGGTAAGATTCTGTTTCTCTTTTCCATGGACATTTTACAGCTTCCTATATCCATTCAATTGTACACTTTTCTCTTGCTTCTTCTAGAACAATCTTTGAATAATCACTATTACAACCACTTTAGGAAAAAATACTCTTTTTCCCTTAACAAAAACCCATCTTACATTCCTTGTATCCTTTGTATAACGTACAAAGTTGGTTTTTGTTTGTTTGTTTTGTTTATTTGAGATGGAGTTTCCCTCTCATTGCCCAGGCTGGAGTGCAATGGCATGATCTCAGCTCACTGTAACCTCTGCCTCCCAAGTAGCTGGGAGTATAGGCATGTGCCATGAGGCCTGGCTAATTTTTGTATTTTTAGTAGAGATAGGATTTCACCATGTTGGCCAGACATGTTGGCCAGGCTGCTCTTGAACTCTTGACCTCAGGTGATCTGTCCACCTAGTCCTCCCAAAGTGCTGGGATTGCAGGTGTGAACCACTGGGCCCTCTCTCAAATTTGTTTCTTTTCAACCTTATTTCTAGTAGTTTCATTTACATATAATTTTTATCTATTTGTAACCTTTATTTTGCAGAAAAAACTAGGAAGTAGACAGTTGTGAATTGTCATATGCCGGCATTTTGTAGCAGATTAGCATATTTTATGAATATTTCATATCGTAATTTCTAGAGGTATATGCTTTTTATAGTAAAAAGAAAAAAAATTTCCAAGGTGGTAAAATATTAAAGACATGTTTATAAAGAAACCCAGGCCAGGCATGGTGGCTCACGCCTGTAATCCCAGCATTTTGGGAGGCTGAGGTGGATGGATCACCTGAGGTCAGAAGTTCAATACCAGCCTGGCCAACACAATGAAGATGAAACCCTGTCTCTACTAAAAATACAAAAATTAGCCAGGCATGGTAGCACGTGCCTATACTCCCAGCTACTTGGGAGGCTGAGGCAGGAGAATTACTTGAACCCTGGAGGCTGATGTGGCAGTGAGTCAAAATCAGGACACTGCATTAGAGCCTGGGTGACAGAGCAAAATTGTGCTGGGATTACAGGCGTGAGCCGCCGTGCCTGGCCTGACTAATGTGCTCTTTACTTCTGCTGATTGTCCTCTGTGTCCTTTTGCTGTCATGAACTATAACCATGTGTAGAATAGCTTTTCTGAATTCTGCAAGTTTTTCTGAAGTGTCCCTGAACCTGAGGGTAGTCTTGGAGACCCCCACCACCGATCCCTCTGCCCACTGTACTGTACACCCCAATTATCTTAAAGAAAGAAATTAAGCCCAGACACTGTCCACCATCAAGGAGTTTATGGTTTAGTGAGAGAGACCAGAAGCAGCCCCTCCCACCCACCATCATCCAGACAGCTCGGCAGTAGCCAGAGAGCCGGGCTACTCGGGCCACCGCGGGAACCGAGCCCGAGGATTTAGCCGGTCCCAACACAAAAAGAAAAACAAGTACCCAGAGAGAAGAAGCAAGTCTGCTTGGAGTAAGAGGACCCGAACTCCTCACCACTCAACAGTCAAAGTGAAGCAGGAGCGTGAGGATCATCCCCAGGGAGGACGGAAGGATCGACAGCACAGGGAACCATGAGAACGGGAACACAGGAGAGCTAGGAACAGTGACCCGGACAGACACTGGGGCCATTCCCTCTGAAGAAGAATGTCTAACGGGAGGCCTGGGAGTAGGCAGGGTCAGGGACGGGATCGAGACACTCAGGACCTGAAGGCTCAGGAAGACCAGCAGGAGTTTTGTAATGCTGGGCAGGGAGCATCACCAGAGGAATATGTGTAAGTAGAAACGTATTAGCTGCTTACATATAGTGTGTATGTATGTATGTAAATTGTGTGTTAAAGAGCTGATACTGATTTTCATATGACAATGTTAAGCAAAGGCCTCCCTGCATTTGAAGAGCAGGTCTTCATTTATATGTATTTTTGGGATAAAAAGTAATAAAATTTGTAAATATAAAACACACGCACACACACACACACACACACACACACACTATGAAATGTACCTCAAGGCCTCTCCTGAGGCAGACAGCCATTGACTGTGATAAGGCTGTGCAGCTGAGGTGCATGAATTTCATGTGTATGCAACACGAGAGATATTCCCAGGAACTTAAGCTTCATACTAGGAAATGTCTGTGTAGGTGTATTTGTTCGTTTTAAATGCTTAAGGAGTGATCAGAGACTATGGTGGGGAGGGGAAGCTGTTCTTCCAAAGAGAAATTCACTCACATTTTCTAATGAATTCTTCCTCCTTCCTTCACTTCCCTGCAGTGGAAATGTGGGGGAGACCAAAGCTGCGATTCCAGTCCACACCAGAGCCCAGAAAGATTCCCAGGACCGGGGAGATGCTTCCTGAGCATCAGGAGCCTGCGGAACGCAGGAAGGATGGTCCTACATGAACCAGGAGGAACGGCAATTGTCTGTAGTAAAAGATGAATGACAAAGGCAGGAAGGCACAAGAAGGCTCCCAGGTCGGCCCAGGTGAGATGAGAGGCCCAGTTCTTCTGAAGTATGTGTGGTGTCCCACAGAAGCCCCCAGGGGTCTGTTGTGGGCGCCACTGTGTCTGAAGTGTGTGTGGTGGTGGGGGTTTCAATGTAGGGCCTTGAAGCTCATTTTTCTCAAAGGAGCAGGAGCACGAGCCTGGCTCTGGGAAGCCTCGTCCTCGTTGCAGCAGGCAGGTGGATGGGCAATTGGATGAACAGCAGTTGAGAGCTGAGCCCACAGAGTGGAGGAGGAAAGAGAGGCGCATGGATGGACATGCAGACACAGTCCACCAGAGCCTGGGACCCCCACACCTATGCGCTCCTCTTGTTTATCCGGAAAGGAGAGCATCAGGTTTGAGGAGGAATGGAACCTGAAACAAACCTCTTCCCTAAATGTGGAATTAATGAGACCCGTTGCCTCTGCTCTCCGGTCCCTGTTCGTCACACAGAGCGCACCTACTGAGCTGGCAGTGGCCTGATGGCAGGTGGTTCCTTGTGTGCCCAAGCCCTATCACGTAGTCAAGGCGAGATCCACTTCTCAGGCTTAGGGTCCCTGCAAATGAAGCATGAGGGCCCCCATGCTTCTCAATGACCTAGCAGGCATCCCTGGGTGCTCCACTCTTGCCAGTTAACCCAGTTGACCACATTAGGGAGTGTCAGGGACTGTCACACCTCCCCAGTGACAATATCATAAAGGAAGAGACTGTAGATGGAAGATAATGCTCTTGAAGCACACATTCATGAGAACAGACCCACATAAACTCAGATGGTCTCACTCCCATTGAGGCTATATAGAACGCATGACAAAGATACACATGATTTTCAAGGCCACTTTTCAAGTATTACGTACATTTATCACATAGTGATTAAACAGTGCAGTCTCTAATCCTGAGTTTCTGCTGCCCAAAAGATGTCTAATAGTATAATGAGAACACCTCCTCCAGGGCTCAAAGCATCTTTCCTATCAGGTACAGGCCAGACATCAGGCCCCAGGGGTCTGGAGCGGGCGGGAGGTGAAGGACAGGACACGGTGTGAAGCAAACAGACATGAGTGAGATCAGAAGAGGCTGCTGAACGCTGGACTGGAGCCAAGCATGGGGTGCCCAGACCCGCTCTCCACTCACAGGAGCTGGACCTCGGATCGTCTCAAGCCACTCCTGGCTTATGGTGGGTGCGCACATGTTCCAAAACCCAGGACAGTGAGGACTGTATTTGGGGCAGAGTAAGAAGAAATGGGTCAGGGCAACATACAAAAGATCTAAAGACAATAAGTAAAGGCTTCATTCTTGTTTTGAACATAATTTGTCAAAGTGTTTGTGTTTCTGTGGTTTTGTTACAGCAAACTCCATAATTGGGTAACTCAAAATTATGTTCCTAATTAAAAAAATGTCATTTGTATTTTCATTATACTTTTTAGTTTTGTGAATTTCAAAGCTCTATCCCGGGTTGATGAAAGTAGAAAACGTGTAGGGTGTGGGGAAATGACTAGAACAGAGGAGATTCTGAAATAATCCTTAGGAAACCACCTGAATTCCTCGGAGAATTTCAGATTTTCCAAGGCTATGAAATGGGTGGGCTCAGGCCTAGATCTCTAAGGGGACAAGGGGAACAAGGTGACACTGGTGTCCCAGGGGACAGAATAGAAAATGGAGCCAGGCCTGTCTCTGACAGGGTGAGCTGCTGGAGTAGGATCTGGTAGACCCAGTGGGGTGGAGGGACCAGGGGCTGGAGCTGAAGGAGGGGCTGTGCTTCAGCCTCCTCCTCCCACTGCCCCTCCCCTGCACCCAGGAGCCCTTAGTGAGGAGGAGGCCCCAGCTATGTGATGCAGGCCTGGGCCCCAGTCCCTAGTCCCAAAGGGGATGCCCAAGGCTCAGTTGCTTGACGAGACATTGCACTTCAGATGGAAAAAATGCTCTTTCGTCTGAAGAGCCCTAATGCCACGTGGCTGAGCCCCAGCTCCACTCCCCGGGTGATGGATCTTATCCTCACTGGGGTGTGAGCCTATTACTCCCCCACCACCCCAGTGACCCACCTCCACCCCTACCCTACAGAGAAAGATTCTCTCATTTTCCTCCCCTGGTTTCCACTTTTCCTAAGCAATGAGAAATGCTCCTGTGATGGGAAATCTCATGGTCCCTCAGGGCAGGGCAGGGCAGGGCAGGTGGGGTGAGAGCGCACAGAGGATTCCATGCCCAGCTCCCAAACCATCTGTGGGGTGGGCAGAAGGCTTCAGGGCACAAAGCAACACCGGGCTTAGTGGCGAGGACAGGCTCAGGAGAGGGCCAGGGCTCTGTGGGAGATAGGCCCCGGCCCTGGCTCATCAGCCCTTCCCGGGGCAGGTGCTGGGGCCCAGTTTCCTCTGTGTGGGGTGATCTGGAGCTGTGTGGAGACCCTGCCTGCCAGGAAGGGAAGTGGTAAGGGGCGGCAGCCAGTCAAGCCAGGCCACGCATCCTCTCCTGAAATCTGCCTGGAGAGGCCAGGACCACAACGGAGAAGGCGGGCCTGGCTCCAGGCTGCAGAGAGGTGCTGAGGCCTTAGGGGAGCCTGGCAGGATCTGGCTAGTCTTGAGCTCTGCTTCCAGCAGGGTCTGGCCCTGTAACCCAGGGGACAAGGCCGGCCAAGACATGGCCACTGGGTGCCAGCCAGCGCCTGGGCCAGGCACCAGGTGGTAAGGGCTCTGGCAGATCAGCCACACATGCCCCACAGCCCCACGGTGGGGCCCATCCAGGGCCATACCCCTGCCCTCAAGAGCAGGACATCCGAGGGGCTAGAGTCCAGCTAGACGGGTGGGGAGTCAAAGACCCTGTGCCCTGTGACTCAACTTGTAGGTGCTCTTGCTGGGCTCCTGTGCACTGCCCCACACCCTGCTCTGTCACCAGCCCCACTGTGATGTCATAAGAGCCCAGCCGCCCAGTGCCTGCTGGCCACAGACTAGTGGGTGTACACACTCAGGTGTAGTAGACTCACGCATATACTGTCTGTTACTGATGTTTTACCTTTCGTCTGTGGGAATTTCCCACAATATGGGAAAATGCAGGAGCTTTTTTTACCAGTTCCACCGCAGGCCCCGGCAGCAGTGGCAACCCCAATGGTCTCCTCTTGTTCCTTCGAACTTTTTGGCTGGCCGGGTTCACCCTGCAGCTCCTGCGTGTGTGCCTCAACGGGAAACCCGATACCCTGCTCGATTTTTGAGTCACCACCGAGGTCTTCAGCCCCGTTTTGCATCCGGAAGGAATTTCACCCCAACCTCGAGCGCCCTACGGCGGGCCCTACCTCCTGCGGTGTGGAGGCCCCCCTCAAGGAAGAAAGTCGTGCTGTCTGCAAGGCACTTGGCCCACGGAAGCCCCGTGAGGCTGCCTTCGCTACAAATGCTGGCCCTGATGGAGGTGACAGCAGAAGAGCCGGAAGAACCAATGGAGGTGACAGCAGCCGAAGAGCCAGAAGAACCAATGGAGGCGACAGCAGAAGAGCCGGAAGAACCAATGGAAGAACCAATGGACGATGAGGTAGAGACCCAGGGGCAGGAGGAGGAGAAAGGGGGCCCCCGTAGCAATGAACCAACAGCATCTACCTCGAGGCCCCTGGAGACTCAGGGAAACCTCGCTTCCCTCGACTGCAGTCCCAGGGCCTTAAAGGGAAGTGTCCAATCCAAGGCCCATGGAGTGCCCAGCGCACACAGCCCTGCAGGAGGCGTCCTTCCCTTTGGGAAGCCTGACCCAGCTCCAGCAGTGCTCCCTGGCCCAGTTCCTGACTGCTCCCATTGGCCAGAGAAGGTGGCCTCTCAGGTGCTGGAGAAAGAGCAGCTACCCAGCTCCTCAGGCTTGCAGATCCCGGGGAAGGAAACCCAGCGCAAGGATCCTGCGGCTCCAGTAGTAGGCAGCCCCCCTCCACCTAGAGCTGCCAGCCAAGCAAAACGGTCAGGGCAACCCCAGCAGCTGCCACTGGTCCCTGCCGAGCAATGGAGGTGGGGCAGAGACGAGGGGCCCTCACCCGCTAAACGTCCCCGCCTATCCTTGGAAGGATTCACAAACAACATGGGGGCGATAGGTAGCAATGCATGGCTGAGGAGACTGAAAAAGCGACGTGGGAGGATAAACAACGTATAGTAAACAGCAGTGCCAGCCAGCCCATCTCCCCACCTCCCCACCTCACCCACCTCCCTGCCCCAGGCCACCTACATGTCAGGTTCCAGCTCCTCCTCTTACCTCTGACTTGGCCCACGGCTGCTGGGCCCCTCATCCTGCCCGTCCCCACCAGCTTCCCCGGCTCCTCTGGCCTCCACGCTGTCACCAGGCCCGACGACCTCCTCAGAGCCTTTTGGATCACACTCAACCCTGAGTGCCGCCAGGCCACCGGAGCCCTTGCCTCCCTCCCCTAAAACGCCGTGCACCCTGGACACATGTGCTTGTTCTTCCTTCACCACAGCCCCATGGGCTCGCGGCCGCCTCTCCACCCCCACGTGCCTCTAGCCTGGTTGGAATTCCGTGTGGCTCCACAACACGCCCCGGACCCCACAGCTCCCCTCCACACCAGCAGCGGCCACCGGCTCCAACCACGGTGATCTCTGGCCTTGGGTGCTCCGGCGAGCCCACCGGGGACCTCTCCTGGTGGAAGGAGGCTGCCACCACGTGGGGCCTCTCCACCTGCTCACATGGCAAATTCCAGCAACAGCATCTTCCCGACCACCCCCCAGAGCCTTCCTTCTGGGGAGACCCCACACCCCAGCAGACGGAGGCAGGTGAGTGCACATTCATCCACCCTGACGTGCAGAAGCTGCTGGAGACTCTCATCGCCAAGAAGGCAGTGATGAAGCTGCGACAGAAGAAAGAAGGGACAGGGGTGGACTGCCCACAGATGATACCACTGTGGAAGGAGTGGGACGCCATGACTCCCCATCCCTTCTGGAACCAGAGAGCCCAACCACAGCAGCCATCCAGTCCGCAGCAGGTCTCTGACGCCACGGCCATGGGGGACCCCTTTCAACAGAAATGCAGAGGTGGTGGCTTCTGTTTTTTGCCATGCAAGGGCACAGGAAGGGGCTCAGCATCCGCTCCTCCTGAGCGTGGCTTCCAGCAGGGCTAGGGCTGGGCCTGGAGGAAGCTGACAGGGATGTAGAGGACCCCCTCTTCTCCCTGTCCCCACACTGTGTCTGGTTTCCAAACTGGATCATGACCCAGAGCCTTCAAAGGACAGCAAACCCTGTGGAGACCCTGCCTGGGCTCCGGCTGACTGCATTCCCGGTTCTCACCAAGGTGACTTCTGTGCTACTGTACGGCTGGGTCTGCAGGATCCTCATGGACTGAGAGGGTGGTAGGCTCCCTTCAGGCTGGAGGAGTGATGGATCCAGCAGCCTCCCTGCCCCATGGTAGCCTGGGAATGTGGGAGTGTCCTGTACTGGACCTGGGTCAGAGGTGGGACAGCTCCTTCCCTGATCTCCTGGTGGGGAAGAGATGACATCTTCCCCAGGACCTTCCCTTCCTGCTAGTTCTGGGATGGACCGGGGCCCTGCCAGCACGTGGCTCAGTTTTGATAACACCCATGTTTGCATCTGGTATCCCCTGAATCACTCTCCAGAGCAGCCTCCAGGATGAGCCTCTCAGCCCACTAATGAGTGTGGGGTTGGCATGTCAGGGGCACCCAGGGCTGCTGCCTGCCCCTCTGGTGGGACTCTGTGGTCAGGAACCAGCAAAGGGGACCTTAGGCCCAGGGTGGGAGGTGGGAGAAGAATCAGGGAAGATGAACATAAGTTCGCAAGTGCAGGACACACAAGCTGCCCGCTGCTGTAACCAGGGTCCTCGCAGTCTGGTGACCGCTACAATCAAAAGTGGCCAGTGCCACTCCCAGGGGAGGGGGAGCCCAAAGGCAAGGGCTGAGCAGGCAAGAGCCAGTTCCTAAGGGCTGTGCCCAGGGCCCTTCTGCCCAGGGAGAGCTTTATATCTGCAGGGGTGATGGAGGCTGAGGATGAGGGGACAGGCCTGTCCCCAGGCCTGGTGGAACCCATGCAGGGCACCTGTTGGAAACAGGCTCTGGTGTCTCTTTGGGTATCCAGGCTACTGCTGGAGCCAAGTCCTGTCTGGGATGGTGACCTGGGCAGCTCCAGTGTGGGCCCAACATCTATAGGACACAGGGTCCTGAGACCTGCAGCAGAGGAACCCCGTAGAGACCCCATGTAGAGCCCCACACTCGAAGATTCCCACAGAGAGCCCCAAAGGGACCCCCATATTCACAGAGACTTTCAGATTCCCCACAGTGACCCCCTGAGGCCCTAACAGAGATTCTGACTGAGACCCCCCATGAAGACCCCCCAGAGAAACTCCCCCTGCAGAGAAAACCCTGACACAGACTCATACAGAGACCTTTCAAAACCAACATGGAGATCTCCACAGAGACCGCCTACCCCGCAGTGACTCTAACAGAGACCTCCAAGAGAAAATATATCAAGATCAGTTTATCACCCCCTAAAATACCAAGCACTGCACTCACTTGGTTAAAATGAGTGGCAACCAACTCATTACCAGCAATGGCTTTCTCCTGGCAGTCCTCTGCCCTCTTCCAGATAAGATTCCTTGAGACACGGAACAATTGACAAGCCTCCTCTATCAGACAGCATCCAACTTAGTGACAAGCCTCCTCCGTCAGACAGCTTCCAACTTAGAGACAAGCCTCCTTCATCAGACAACATCCAACCCGCTGACCCCTAACCCGCTGACAAACCCTTCCCCACATCACCCAGTCACAACCCCCATGCGGATACAAAACTGTAAGCGTTGATGATAGAAACGATGAGGGTTCTTCTGATGCCATCCTTCTGAGACTGCCCTCAGCTCCTCAGGCCATGCCCTTCCCTCGCTGTCAAGGGAATCCCCCATGCAGGGTCTAGGTTGGCCTTACTCACAGGGCTCCTGTGGGCCTTGCACTGGAGCACATGGAACAGGAAGGATCTCGGCTTGCACACAGCTTCCTCAGAAAACCTTCTCCCACTCCCCTGTGAGGCCAGGCCCCCTGTGCTGGATTCCCCACCCTGGCCTCTGCACCCTGGGCATCTTTCTCCCAGAACCCTGAAAGCTTCTTGTGGGTCCAGTGAGGAGGGAGGCATGCCTGACCACACTCCCGGAACTTACTGTGGCCCTGTTATAAACTGTTTCATTAAATCTTAGTTCCAACGGATTAGGAGGCTGAGTTGGGAGGATCCCTTGAGCCTGGGAGGTGGAGGTTGCAGTGAGCTGAGATCATGCCACTGCACTCCAGCCTGGCAACAAGAGCAAAACTCTGTCTCAAAAAAAAAAAAAAAAAAAATGGTGGTGTAACTGAAGTACAGATATGTGACTTGTTTAAAGTCACACCCCTATTAATAATGAAGCAGAAGCTGGACTCCAGCTCTCCAATCAATGAAGAAGCGGGGGAGACTGGAGAAGGTGGTTGGTCCCAGAGAAGGGAAGTCTTTAAATCAATAAACTACATAATCGGCACTTGTGTAGAGAAGTTATCTGTGCTTGGACTCAAATCTGTAACATTTAAGGAGTATTAATAAACATCACTGAAAAGCTATTTGGTGCTGAGAATTATGGAAGAATGGGATTGTGCTCAAAGACCGCTGTTCCAGTCGTGTAATGCTACATATCAAACCACTCCAAAACATAGGGCTTAAAAGTACAACAATATTTATGTTGCTCACAAGTCTGCCATTTGGGCAGGGCTCAGTAGGGAAGCTCATCTCTGCTCCCTTCCATCTTAGCTGGGACAGTTTGAAGCCTCAGAGCTAGAATCACCTGAAGACTCCTTCAACCCAGCATCTGGAGGATGGGACAGCTGGGGTGCTGGGGTTCCTCCGGTATAGCTCCCCATCTCTTCCTGGCATCTTCACATGAACTCTCTTGCACAGCAACTGCAGGCTAGCCAGACTTCTTCCATGTCAGCCCACAGCTCCCAAGGGACAGGGCTCCAGAAAAGAGAGCCAAGTGGGGGCCAAATTGCTTTTTATGACTTAGTCCGGGAAGCCAGGCCACATCACTTCTGCCAAATTCTCTTGGTCAGAGCAGTGAAAAAAGTCTTTCTTGATTTAAAAGGCAAGACAGGGTCAGGTGCAGTGGCTCACGCCTGTAATCCCAGTACTTTGGGAGGCCAAGGTGGGTGGATCACTTGAACCTGAGTTCAAGACCCGTCTGAGCAACATGATGAAACGTCATCTCTACCAAAAATACAAAAAATTAGCCGGACATGGTGGTGCACACCCGTAGTTCCAGCTACTAAGGGCTGAGATGGGAGGATCACCTGAGCCCAGGGAGGTCAAGGCTGCAGAAAGCCGTGACCACACCACTGCACTGCAGCCTGGGCAACAGAGTGAGACCCTGTCTCAAATAAATAAATAAATAAATAAAAAGGTGAGAACACAGATCCCACCTCTTGACGGAGGAGTGTCAATATCACATGGTAAGAAGAGTATGTGGGATGAGATCCATATCAGAGCAGCTGCGTTTGGGAAACATACTCTGCCACAACCAAAAACCACTGGATTACCAAACCACTGAAACACAGCGTTGAAACAGACCTCAAAATGACCACCTATTTGCCCCTCATAAATTTCATTTTGTAAGACACAGTTCAAATGTCCCTTCCTTTTGGAAGTCCCACACTGATATGCCCCAGCGTATACAGCTCTTTGTAAAGATGCCCACTCTCTCACTCAGCTTATTCTATTCTCATTTTTGTAACAGGATTGTAATCAGACAGATATGATCTTCCTATATTAGCCAACCATTTTACTAGTCAATCAATATGACATCATAGGGCAGCTTCACAACGAGCCTTCAGATTGATGGAGAAGAGACACCTTCAGGGAAGTCAGAAGCAACGCTTTGCACAGAAAACACAGGGCAGCAAAGAGAAAAGAATCAGCAATTCAGAGAAGAAAAACTGAATCACACAAAGATGGAAAAAATATATACATATACAAACATAGGGTTTTTTTTTTTTTTGCTTTTCCCCTCCAGAAGCTGAGTTGAAAGCATTGCCCCAAAGCAGTGATTTCTCAAACCTCACCTGCGTCAGGGTCACTGGGAGGTGACCAGAAACACCCACCCCCGAGTTTCTGATTCATTGGGTCTGGGTGGGGCCTGCATTTTCGCGGAGTCCTAGGCGATGCTGCTGCTGGTCGTCCGATCCCAGGCTTCAAGAACCACTGGCCACTTTGTGAGGCCGAGGTGGGAGGACCGATTGAGTCCTGGAGTTCGCAACAAGCCTGGCCAACCTAGGGAAAACCCTTCCCCCTCTCCCCGCCCACGGCTCTATTTAAAAAAAAAAAAAAAAAAAAAAAAATTAAAACAGCTGGGCGTGGTGGTGCTGGCCTGTG